ATGGTTCACAGCTGTAACCCAGTGGCCTGGCGAGGCAGGCATTCATCAATACTCGTTGAAGGCATTATAACCAGGTAAGTCTTAGCTAAAAGGTGAATTGATACAACCCAGGGTTTGCTTGCATCCCCCTTCTTTGGTCTTTTTCACATATTCATAAGCCTTTGCTTTCAGAACACACCACCCTGCTGCCCTTTGAAACGTCTCCGTTCTCTTATTTCTTGGAATAAGGGGCCGAGTGTTACCAGCCTCACTGAGAGCCACTCAACACCCCTCTTCCCTTTGTGGTTTGTTATCCGTCCCATCAAGGGAAGAAACAAAGGAACCAGTCACAGGTGCCTCCTGGACACCAAATGCCACTGTCCTTTCTTAGCCCCTGCTTTCCTGAATCGCTGTCAATCTGGTGATCGACTGACAAACACCTTTTTTTCACAGGTTGGGGACACTGGCCTCCTCCACTTCTGTTTCCCAGACCACAGTTTGCCTCCTTCGACCAGATTCTGAGACTTAAATCTCTGCTCCCCACCCCACACTCCCTTGACTCTTCCCTCAGAATCTAGTCTCTTCATTTCGGTGATCGACTCTTTTATTCTGTTGCTAACAGATGACATCACCGTAGACTTGATGGATGTTTGTTTTTCCAAGACAGTCTTGCTACCTGGTCCAGACTAATCTCTGGTACTTGGGATCTGTCGTGCTGAGATTGCAGGCATATACCACCAAGCTGGACTCATTTTTTTTTTCTTCTCTCTCAGTTTCCACCCTGAATTATAATTCAGTTTCCACCCTGAATTATAATTCTCTCTCTCTCTCTCTCTCTCTCTCTCTCTCTCTCTCTGCTTTTTGAGACAGGGTTTCTCTGTGTACTCCTGGCTGTCCTGGATCTCGCTCTGTAGACCAGGCTGGCCTTGAACTCACAGAGATCACCTGCCTCTGCTTCCTGAGTGCTGGGACTAAGGGTTTTTTGTCACTATATCTGGCTTTTCATTTCTTTTTAATGTTCTGAAATCTGTTGGCATATGAGAGTCAACAGGACACCAAGAAAGGGAAAGGATTAATACCTCTCCCTTTAAATAATGTTGTATTTGAATATATTAATTATACATAATAATTTTAATACATGGATATAATGTGTTTCAATCATATTCACTGTTATCCTTTCTTGTCCCCCTCCCACTCCGATCATCTCTTTCCTCTTTCCAATCAGCGCCCCCCCCCATTTGTTTATGTGTGTCCCAGTGAGTTTCATTAGGGTTTGTTTACAATAAGAAGCACCCTACTTGTGGCTCCATCACTAAAGAAAATGTCTCTCTCCCCCACCAACCACTTCCTGGTATAAATCCTAAGGAAGTGGCGGGGCCGGATGAATCCCTCCCCTTGTGTGACTGAGTGCTGACAGACCCAGGCTTGGGCAAGTTATCACAACTTCTAGGAGTTCAAGAGTGCAAGAGCTGCCTGGGGAGCTGACTCACTGGGGGAAACGTGCCTGCCTCCAGGCCTGATGACCTGGTTCAATCCCCAGGATGAGCCAATTCCTACAGTTTGTCCTCTGACTTCTACATACACACCAGGGTCCAGACTTCAAGTGGGGCTGCTGATTGAAACACAGTATTCAGGTTTCCTCTCATTTTTGAAAAAGAGTCATGTAGCCCTGGACTGTCTGGGACACACGACATAGACCAGACTGGCCTTGGACTAGTCTTCAGAACTGTTTTCTGAACACTGGAATTGCTACCACATAAGGCTCAGAACAAACATTCCAGCTGGCACTCTTATCAATAGCAGATTCCCTTTTAGTTTGTCTTTAATAAATTCTTCTGGGGAAAACTCACTTTGCACAGGGAAGACAATCCACAGTGTTCTATTAGTGGCTTTACATATTGGAACATACTGATTTAACTGCACAGGGTGTGTGTGTGTGTGTGTGTGTGTGTGTGTGTGTGTGTGTGTGTATGTGCACGCGCGCATGAGGTCTTTTCTCAGCCACTCCGTCCACCTGGCTGTCCTGGATCTCGCTCTGTAGACCAGGCTGGCCTCGAACCCACAGAGATCCTCTTGGCTCTGCCTCCCGAGTGCTGGGATTAAAGGTGTGCGCCACCACCACCCGGCTGTTGTTTTTTGAGACAGGGTCTCTCTATTATGTAGCTCTGGCTGTCCTGGAACTTGCTATGCAGACCAGGCTGGCTCTCAAGTGCTAAGATTAAAGGCATTTTGCTACCATGATGAGCCATTTTTTTTTTTTTTTTTTTTTTTTTTGGTTTTTTGAGACAGGGTTTCTCTGTGTAGCTTTGCGCCTTTCCTGGATCTTGCGCTGTAGCCCAGGCTGGCCTCGAACTCACAGAGATCCGCCTGCCTCTGCCTCCCGAGTGCTGGGATTAAAGGCGTGCGCCACCACCGCCCGGCCATTTTTTTTTTTAAAGAGAAGTCTCCAGCTGAAAATGATTTGTCTCTGACTCATACTGGGATTACAGACTATGGGGGACAGTCCCCACTTTCAGGACCAGGGTACTCTTGAGCAGGGAAAAGTGAGAAATATTTAGATAGAAAGAGGTACCTAGATGACAAGAGGAAAGACAGAAACACCTTGGGAGGGCCTGGGTCAAAACCCAACAGCCCAGAACTTTATTCCAAAGGGCTTTTTATAACAATGCCAAGGGGCAAGGCAAAAGACCTCCCCCTTGCTAGATACAGCCCAAGTGTAGACCCTTCCAAACACCTGGTACCCAGGCCTGTGGCCCAATCACCCTCTTATGCAGTCCTGCTGGGTAAAGCCACCAGGAAACCTTGGTGGGCTCCAACAACCGCCATACCATGATGCCTGCCCTTAATTTCTTTTACAACATGACACTCAAACAGGAGAGCAGTATTCAGATGCTATCTGGTAATGAGTATCAAATCTTCTGTCATAGATATTAGGCATGTGTGGTGTTCATGCATGTGCATGTCTGTATGGGTGCACATGTGAATGGAGGCCAGAGGCTGGGCTTCCAGGATCTTCCTCTGTCACTCTCCACTCTATACATTGAAGAGGTGACTCTCATTTGAAGCCTGAGCTCCCACTGGGGTGATCTAGCTAGCCAGCTTGCTCTGGAAAGCCCATCCCGAGGCTGGGATTAAAAGCAGGCCACCACACCCACCTGGCATTTACATGGCTCTGGTTATCTCAGTTGTAGCTCTCACACTTGTACAGCAAGGTTTTTACTCATCAAGCCATCTCCTCAGCCCAAAATCATCTGATAGCCTAGCATCGTTTAAAAATAATTATTTTTAGATTTCTTTATGTATATGAATGTTTTGTCTGCTTGTCTGTATATGTACCATGTGCATGTTTGGTGTCTTGGAAGGCCAGAAGAGGACACTGGGTCCTCTGGAACTAGAGTTATGGATGGTTGGGAGGCACCATGAGGGTGCTGGAAACTGAAACCAGTGCTCTCAAGCACTGAGCATCTCTCTAGTGCCTTGAGCATGACTTTTAAAAACATGGTTGTCATTGTGGGTAATTTCTACTGAAATTAAATGAAATGATTGACACAAAACATACACTAGTTTTACAATATGACCTGCTCTGAATCATAATGAAGAAAAATTTAAAAACAAACCATAGCCAGGCGGTGGTGGCGCACGCCTTTAATCCCAGCACTTGGGAAGCAGAGGGAGGCAGAACTCTGAGTTCAAGGCCAGCCTGGTCTACATAGTGACTTCCAGGACAGCCAGGGCTACACAGAGAGATCCTGTCTGGAAAAAAACAAACCAAACAAACAAACCATAAAAAGAATAATTTTTTAAAAATCAGCTGCTGGACCTAGTAGTGTAGGCTGGACCCGGTAGCCCAGTCCTGTAACTCCTATAATCCCCAAAACTGGGGAGGTTGGGGCAGAAAGACTTAAAGTTCAAAGCCTAACTGGGCTATAGAACGAGTTCAGGATGGCCTGAATAATTTAGTCACAAAAATAAAAAAAAGCCGGGCGGTGGTGGCGCACGCCTGTAATCCCAGCACTCGGGAGGCAGAGCCAGGCGGATCTCTGTGAGTTCGAGGCCAGCCTGGGCTACAGAGCTAGTCCAGGACAGGCTCCAAAGCTACAGAGAAACCCTGTCTCGGAAAACCAAAAAAAAAATAAATAAATAAATAAATAAAACAAAGAGAGCGCTAGAAATACAATGGCAGAGGACTTGCCTCTCTTGTGTGAGGTCCTGGGTCCAGTGTTCAGTATGGAGCAGTGGGAGATCAGCCTAGCCTGGTGGTGTAGGCCTGGAGTTCCATCACTCAAGAGGCTGAGGCCAGGCCCGCGAGATGGCTCAGCAGGTACATGGAACATCTTGAATTTGATCCCTGGAACCTACTTAAAGGTGAAGGGACAGAGCCAACTCCACAAAGCTAGCCTCTGACCACCATATGTGCGGCATATGCTCACACACACACACACACACACACACACACACACACACACACACACGCATCATGCAAACACACAGAGACAATCACACGAACACACACACATACAAAATAAATTCAAAAAAAGAGGCTGAGGTAGGAGCATCATGAGTTCAAGGCCAGCCCGGGCTACAAAAATGAGACCTCAGCCGGGCGGTGGTGGCGCACGCCTGTAATCCCAGCACTCGGGAGGCAGAGCCAGGCGGATCTCTGTGAGTTCGAGGCCAGCCTGGGCTACCAAGTGAGTTCCAGGACAGGCACCAAAACTACACAGAGAAACCCTGTCTCGAAAAACCAAAAAAAAAAAAAAAAAAAAAAAAAAAGAGACCTCAGAGATAAATAAGATAAAAACGATCTCTAAGAACTAGAATTAAAAACTATAATACAGAAGAGTAAAAGTCTGCTCTAGTAGACTAGCTTGCACAAGTTGTCTATCCAAATGCCAAGAAGTAACTTCCTAATTATTATTCTGTTTTCCTTTACTCTCTTTATGCTAGTGAGAAATCTCAGGTTTACTCATTTATTGATTAATTAACTGAAAAAAATATGAAACACACTGGAATTACAAATGTAAAAGAAAATCAAGCCCCTCGTTTTATTCTTGGAAAACTTTATTACAGTTTAAACAACAAAGCCACAGACGGGAGATCTCGTAAGGCCATCCATACATCACAGCTGTATGTGGCAAACCCCACACGAGAGACATAATTTAGGCAAAAGACATTTATTAGTCCATATTATACTTATCTCCCAATCTGAGATCATGGAAATTTAGTCAAAAAGGTTAGAAACAGATTTACATGGAGTCACATCAGAAAGCAGAGGAAGTGATGTCTAACATTGGGTAAGTCTGTCGGTAGCTAGTCCTCAGTAGACTGAGTTCCTGCCGGTCAAGGGCAGGTGGCTCACACTAAAAATACCCGCGATGGTGCTGTGCTCCCACCAGCCCAATCGTCACGAGGACTGCAATGTCACTTACAATCTATGGAGGTTTAAAGAGTCAAGTCAAGCCCAAAAGATAAGAATCGTGTATTTCTTTAGAGGAAACATAAAAACATGACTAATTGGTTCTTGTTTTAATTTACAGTTAAAAAGTCTATTTTTGAAGACATAAAAAAATAGACACGGTGGCATTGTCACGCACCTGAAAAGAGACTCCATACAGAATGTCCCCATTAACAACCACAACTGCGGAAGTCTGTTTCAGCCCACAGACTTGATTTCTGAGTAGGTCACAAACTTTACTTGGGTTGACTGACCTTCTATCACCAGCACACACCTTGCCGGCTAACTATTAAACATCTACTTCCACTGTATTTTGCCTTTCACTAAAATGCACCCAGACGTAACCAGACAATTCAAAAAGGCTGCAATGGCCTTCAATAATTTTTTCCTTTTTTAATTACAAAAATTTAAAGACAGGGGAGCTCACTATGTAGCCCAGGCTGGCCTGAAACTCATGACCCTCTTGCCTCAGGCTCCCAAGTGCTGGGATTATAGGCTCACATCACCATGCCCAGCTCAATAATCTTCTTTTTCCTATATCTGATCTTGTTCTCCGTGAAGGCTAATGCCTGATTCGGCCTCTAGTCTGTGATTTCAGATTTACAATAGAAGACTACTGCATCACATATAGCCATCCTGATCAATGATCTACTTACATCTCATAGCCAGTTATCTTTCAAAACAAGTTACCAATGTAAAATATGCAATATTGTTGAAAAATAAATATACAGTATAGAGAAGTTTCTACATTCCCAGACAGGCTTTAAAATGAGGTAATACGAACTTAACTGATTAAACCTTTTTACCATTCTGCAAATCTCAGGGAAACAATGGTGCCACACCTTTCCTCGGATCTTTTCACGTCATGTCTCCTTTGAGTAATTCTGAGACCCTTTCTTACGCGGGAAAATTATTTAGGAAATCCTTAAGCTTTGTTGGGTAGTCTGTCATCACTCCAGTGGCTCCCAGATCAAAAGCTCTTTTGTACTCGTGTTCTTCATTTAAAACCCAAACGTATACCTGGGAATTGGGGTGTAGGAAGTATCAGAAGAAACGTTAAACAGAAAATGATTTCATATTTATCCACTAGGATCTCAGCACGCTTACAGTGAACCTTATGAAGGTTGTCATTTTAAGAAATTATTAAGGGCTGGAGAGATGGCTCAGAGGTTAAGAGCACTGACTGCTCTTCCAGAGGACCTGAGTTCAATTCCCAGCATCCACATGGTGGCTCACAACCATCTGTAATGAGATCTGGCACCCTCTTCTGTGTACATAATAAATAAATAAAATCTTTAAAAAAAAAAAAAAGAAAGAAATTATTAAGCTCTTTTAAAAAATATTCCATTTCCTCATTAGATATGCACTATCCCACCCCTGACTTCAGCTGCCCTCATTGACATAAGAATCTAGCTGATGCTTTATTACTAACTGCAAGGAAGAGCATGCAGTCCTCATTACAGTTGTCGTATCAAAGTCAGAGCTCAGACAGAGTTAAAGACCCTGCACTGTGGCTTGTACCAAACGGCTGGGCGCTGCTATTTCAAAGGACACCAGTGCCCAGACTTACTTGGATGCCCCGGGCCGTGAGGTGGTCAAATAAAGCTTTCCGCATTAATAGGCTAGAGGGGAAAGAAAAGAGAGCAGAATCAGGCACATCTTCATCCTTAGGAATAGAATTAACCTTTGTCTCCTCTGTCAGCTTATAGTTTAATAACTGCTAGTTTAATCCCAGCGCTTCAGCAATACAAACGAACATCTCAAGTAATAATGGGTATTACAAATTCATTTTCTTTTTCTTTCTTTTTAGGATTTATTTACTTTTATGTGCACTGATTTTTTTTTTTTTGCCTGCATAAATGTTTCTGCCAAGGTGCCAGTTCCTCTGGAACTGGAGTTATAGACAGTTGTGAGCTGCCCTATAGGTGTTGGGAATTGAACCCGGGTCCTCTGGAAGCGCAGCTGGTGCTCTTAACCACTGAGCCATCCCTCCAGCCCCCTCTTTCTTTCTTTTTGGACAGACTCAGTATGTAGCCCTAGCTGGCCTAAACTCCCTATGTAGACCAGGCTGGCCTATTTGACCTCTGATCAACAGAACTCAATCTGCTTCTCTCTCTAAAGGCCACCACACCCAGCTGGGTGAATCTGCTGACTGCTGGCCACCCAGAGCCTGCTCTCGGGCTGCCACTGGATGCTCACAAAACCTTTCTCCTTGCAGCACCTCAGTGAAGTGGAGTCTCCTCCCTCACTTTGCCTGCTGGAGCTGAAATGAGAGTGAGAATGAGCTAGAAGCCTCTGTTCTGTGCCCAACTTTCCAAGTTAAATAAGGCAGGGCATTCGACTTAAGTTCTGTGCCATCGTAGTTCCATCTTATATATTTCTGTATGTCTATTCATTGTAATTTTCTGTATCTATGAAAAATGAGCCCGGTGGTGGCACACGCCTTTAATCCCAGAACCCAGGAGGCAGAGCCTGGCAGATCTCTGTGAGTTCAAGGCCAGCCTGGTCTACAGAGTGAGTTCCAGGAAAGGCACAAAGCTACACAGAGAAACCCTGTCTCGAAAACCAAAAAAAAAAAAAACAAAACAAAACAAAAAACAAAACAAAGAAAGAAAAATGATTTTTTTAGACTACAAATCACTTAAATAAGATGGAAACTAGTCATACTGGGAAATCACAAATATTCTTTTTTTAATTTTATTTTAAGTTATGTCTTTATGTGTGGTGTCTGTGTAGATAGATATGCGCACACATGAGTACAGGTGCATGTGGAGGCCAGAAGAGGGCGTCAGATCCTTTGGAGCTGGAGTTATAGGCAGTTGCAAGCAGCCTGACATGGGTTTTGAAAACCAAACTCTGCACTAGGGCAGTCTGCATTCTTAACCACCGAGCCATCCCTCCAGGCCCTACAGATCAATCCTATTCCCATCCATTTACATGTAGCGCAGTGATTAAATATACAAAAATCTAGCAATCATGAGCTTTAGCACCAATTAAAATGTATTCTTTTTTTTTTTTTTTTTTTTTTAAAGATTTATTTATTATGTATACAGTATTCTGCCTGCACGTATCCCTTCAGGCCAGAAGAGGGCACCAGATCTCATTACCAGTGGTTGTGAGCCACCATGTGGTTGCTGGGAATTGAACTCAGGACCTCTGGAAGAGCAGTCAGTGCTCTTAACCACTGAGCCATCTCTCCAGCCCTAAAATGTATTCTTGAGGGACTGAAGAGATGGCTCAGAAGTTAAGAGCACTGGTTGTTCTTCCAGAGGACCCGGGTTCAATTCCCATCACCCTCATGGCAGCTCACAACTGTCTGTAACTCCAAGATCTGACACTTTCACACAGCCATACATGCAGGCAAAATACCAATGCACATAATAAAATAAATTATTTTTAAAAATGTATTCTTGAAAACTAGAAATTAAACCAAGAATAAAATACAAAAAGAACACACTCCTTGTGACATACAGGAAAGAGAAGACTAATTTTCCAGGACTCCTGGACATCAGGCACCAGGAGCTTGTATGCAGAACTACACTTGGGTGGTTGTCAGGGTTTGGAGCAAATATTTCCAAGAAATGTGCCAGTAGACAGTACCCACGTTTACACACCCTGCATTGCCACACACACTTCTTCTCACCATGTTGAACTGTGGGTTTGTGGAAACAGCAAGGAAGTAGAAGGGAACAGTTAGTTTTTGCAACCTTGCTAGTAACTAGCTCCGTAACCTTGAGTAAATCATTTAAGTCAACGGGCAGGTGCTTGGTTTTCTCATGAAGGTTGAGGAGATTCTCTCTCTAGGTTCCCACTAAGGTTTTGTGACTGGTGACTAAGCTGGTCCAGATGGTTCACTGGCATCCACTTGCACAGTAGGCATTCAAGTCCTTCGTACAAATGACACGTGGACAGACTACACCATGTTCCAAGGGTAGCACCCAATAAATACAGCTCAAGGGCCAGTGAGTTGGGCTGAGGGGTGAAAAAGCTTGCCGCCAAGCCTGCCATAAGCTCCATCCCCTGGTACCCTTGTGCTGGAAGGAGAGAAACAACTCCTCAGAGTTGTGCTCTGACTTCCACACTATGCAGCATAGGCTGCCCACTTCCCACTGCACACAAAACAATTTTATTCTTTTTTTAAAAAGCCAGGCATGGAGGGGCATGCCTTTAATCCCTGCATTGGTTGGGAGATCTCTGTGACTTCAAGGCCCGCCAGCCTGGTCTACATAACAAATTCCAGGACAGACAGGACTATACAGTGAGACCCTGTCTTGAAAAAACAAGACAAAACAAAACAAAAACAATACAAGCACACATTTATATAGAGATCTCTCTCTAGAGATGTCTTGGCAGTTAAGAGCACTTGCTACTTTTGCAGAGGACTCAGGGTTGATTCCCAGAACCCACATCAGGCAGCTCATAGCTGCCGGTAACTCCATCCAGTTACAAGAGATCCAATGCCCTCTTCCGGCCTCCTCAGGCACAAAGCATGCATGTGGTACACAAACATACCTGCAGACTTGTGCACATACACATGCAATAAAAAAAAACTTCAAAAAACATTATATATGTAATATCATATATATTATATATCATATATCATTTATCTATCTATATCTATAATCTCCACAGTAATAATTAAAATACTTACGTATCAGAAAGCCAGATGAGAAACTTATGACCTTTGGACATAGTGTGTGGTTCTTTTAGCCTAAGGGAAGTCAAAGTAGTATGAATTAGGAATGCAGGAATGTATCAGTGTGATAGAACAAGACAAATTCAAACTGAAGACAGTGCCTATAGAAAGGCTGGGAGGCAGAGGCAGGAGGATTGTTGTGAGTTCCCAGTCAGTCTGGTCTTCATAGTGAGTTCCAGGACAGAGAGAAACTACACAGTGATACCCTGTCTCAAAAAAACAAACAATAAATAAAACTTAAGAACTTAAGAACTAGCAATTATTAAACTCTATAAGCAACAGAGAAGACAAAGGTTAATTCTATTCCTAAGGACAAAGATGTGCCTGATTCTGCTCTGTTTTCTTTAGTTATTATTTTTGCTTTTGTCTTCTTCCAGTTTCTGAGGTCTGGAGCTGCACAGCCATCTGCCAGGAAATCTCTGCCGCACCTCTCTCCTGCCAAGGCTTCTCGGCTGCACTCTGAATTTGTTATTTGTCAAACAGGCTTTTCATGCTCCCCAGGTCTTCATTTCTCGTTTCTTTTCTAACGTTTCCTGCCCTCGCTCTCCTCTTCCCCCACCTCCTTCTCTGTGTGTGCTCACATATGGGCTAAGCAGGCTGAACTCCGGCACCACCAGTCTGTTTCCTACGAGCCCTTAGGTTACTGATGCAGACTGCCACATCTGGCTTTACATGGGCACAGGGGACCTGAACTCAGGTCCTCATGCTTCTGTGGCAGGCACTTTCCCCACTGAGCCACCTCCCTAGCCCCTGCATGTGGCACCCCACTTAGTTTATGCAATTCTGGGATAAAATCGAGGGCATTGTGGATACTAGCCCAGCATTCTAACAACCAAGCTGTATCTCTAGTTCCAATTTTGTTTTGTTTTGTTCTGTTTTGGTTTTTCGAGACAGGGTTTCTCTGTGTAGCCCTGGCTGTCCTGGAACTTGCTCTGTAGACCAGGCTCGCCACAAACCCAGAGATCCGCCTGCCTCTGCCTCCCCTAAGTGCTGGGATCAAAGGCATGGGCCATTACCACCCAGCTTGATTTTTGGTCTTAATAGAAACTCCGAATAAAGTTTTCTCTAACATTGGCCCAGATGAGAAGTCTTGGTCAAAATTTCAGGAATCTAAGGGATTCATACCTCAAATATTAATTACCTCACTAAATGCAATTCCTAATTATTTTATTAAGGGTCCAGTGCACTGCACACAATATCAAAGCAAATAGAAATAATATTCTATGAAGTCATACTTACTATATATATGTGTGTGTGTGGTACATGTTCATGTGCATCTGTGCAAGTGTGTGTGTGTGTGTGTACACATGTGGATGCCAGAGGTTGATGATGTGGAATCTTGCTTGATCATTTCCAACCTCTTTTTGTTTTTTCCTCTGAGACAGGGTCTCTCCCTGGACCTTGAGTTCACGGGTTCGGCCCAGCTGGCTGACCAGTGAGCTCTAGGAATCTGCCAGTCTCCATCTGACAGATAGATGCTGCTGTTCTGGATTTTACATGGGCTCTGGGGATCCGAACTCAGGTCTTCGTGCTTGCACAGCAGGTACGTTACCAACTGAGCCGTCCCTTTGGTCCTTGTCATCACTTCTCAGAGTGTTCTGCTTCCTGTGTTTGTATTACAACAACATCCGCTTCCCTCAAGAGTGCACTGAGCTGTCTAGAGGACATGGTGCTCTAGTCTAGTCAGGAAAGAGCCAAACACTTCAGTAATAAATGGTTAGTCTTTCTAGTACAGCAAATGAAAACAGCTTCTTTGCAGACAAGTGTTTTCTGAGCAGAACAGGGTGGGGCAGCACATGCCTGAAATCCCAGCACTCTAGAGGCTGGGTAATGGGGTTGCCATGGGTTTGAAGTCATCTGGGCTACACTAATAAGATGTGTGTGTGTGTGTGTGTGTGTGTGTGTGTGTGTGTGTGTGTGTGAATGAAATGGTATTTTCAGCTGTTTTGTCTAAGAAATGTCCATGAAGACTTTTAACAAATATAATTGAGAATTGATAAAATAAACAGCTTGTCATTAAGAATTTCAAACAGTCAAAACAGCCTGCAGCAGAGCTAATCATAAGAATACTGAAAATGAGCTGGAGGGATAGCTCAGCCGTTAAAGGCTAGGCTCACAATGAAAACTATAAGAATACTGAAAATGGGCCACCACGATGGCTCAGCGAGGTGCTTGCGACCAAATCTGATGACTCACGTGGTAGAAGGAGAGAACTGATTGCTGAGGGTTGCCCTCTGACCTCTACATGTGTGCATTGGCACACTTAGAGTGTAGTCATGCACACACACAATAAGGAACTGTAATAAAAACTTGGTTGGGGACTATGGGGTAGAGGGCTGGCTCAGACAGAACAGTGCTTATGCAGACATGATGACCTGGGCCTGAGCCCCAGCACCCATGCTAGAAAATAAACAGGAAATGGTGACGTACATACACTGTGTAACCTACTGCAATGGGGAAGGCGGAGACGGGAGGATCCCTCGGGCAGGCTGGCCAACTAGCCTAGAATAATCGGCGAGCCCCAGGTCCCAGTCAGAGATCCTGTCTCAACAACAATGTCAGAGGTTCCCCTCCCTCCCCCAACACACACAAGGAAAATGTGATCTAATTATACTAAGAAGCTTTTGATAGCAGAATTCTTGTTTTCTGTATTTGTGTGGGAGATTGAACCCAGGGCTTTGTGTTTTTGCTAGCAAGAGCTCAACCACTAAAATATATTCCAAGTCCCACAAACCTCTATTAATTTCTTAAAAATAGTGTTAAAATGTATTCTTTGAAAATTTCATACATGTAGTTTGATCATATTAATCCCCCACTATTCTTTTTTATCCCATTCCCATGCCCTTTGGATCATTTCTTCCTTCCAGTAAACCCCCGTCTAACTCAGTTGAATTAGGGGTGCTTACCTGAGCACGGGCATGGAGTTACTAGAGCATGGGTGAGGTAAAAGTGGCTATACCATGGGGGAAAGCCGACCCTCTGCTCCAGAAGATGTCAACTGCCTACAGCTAGGGGTGGGAAAGTCTATTTATTTTATTGTTGATATTTGCTTTAGTCTGTTTTTCCGTAGCTAAAGTGTCTGAGGCTGGGATGTTTACAAAAAAAAAAAAATAAGTTTACTTAGATCACAGTTCTAGAAGCACAAAAGCACAGCACTAGTATTGGTTTGCTTCCCCCCCCCCCCCCCCCGCCCCCCCCATCCACTTTGGTTTTTCGAGACAGGGTTTTTCTGTGTAGCTTTGCACTTTTCCTGGAACTCGCTTTGTAGTCCAGGCTGGCCTTGAACTCACAAAGATCCATCTGGCTCTGCCTCCAGAGTGCTGGGATTAAAGGCGTGCGCCACCACTGCCCGGCCTGGTTTGTTTCTTGTGAGGGTTTCAAGGCAGCAGGAAAGCAGTGGGCACTGTCAAAAGGGAGGCGCTTGGATGTGAGAAGCAGCAGGAAAAAAAAACAAGAGAAAACTCATTCCCACAGGAAAGGAATTCAGGCCTCTAAATCATCTAATTACCTCCTAGGGATCCTACCACGACTCAGCACAGATAAAAACAAGCCCAAGTTTAGTGGGAATAAACCACGTGTAAACTACAGCAAAGGCTGAGGGTTGAGCTGGGAGAATCCACCCACACCCAGCACTCGATCCCCAGCACCTAAGAGTGATGGGGATGAGCATAAGCCATGTTCATTACATGAGCATTCACTAATGGGTAACTGGTAAAGAGCAGAAGGACTTACTTCAGTATGATAGAAGGCATTGGAATTTCAAAGAACTGTTCTCGAATGGGCACAAAGGGCAAGAGGCCAGTGAAGAAAAGACCAAGGATGAGCAGAACACGCTGTAGGCTGAAGAGTATAGGGATGTCTGAGTTCTAAAACACAAACAACATCATATGTTACTTTAATAGGCAGGATCATCTTATAAACCTCAGGATATATTTCCCAGATTATATGCTCACAACTCTTGCAAACATTCTCTGAATTATGAATATTCATTACAATAACAACTCAGAAATAGGTAGTCCGTAATCCATAAGTCATGATCTACTTTGGAGCCCCATGGAGGAATAAATGCCACTGAAGTCTCTCTGGTGCTTTTGTAACACGTGGGTCTGTTGGTTATGTATGGACAACTACAGACTAGGAGAAACACACCAACACAACAGCAAAAAAGACGATACATGAAATGTCTGGTAATTTGGCTCCTGCTGAATATACACAGCTCACTGGGCGGTGGTGACTCATGCCTTTAATCCCAGCACTCAGGAGGCAGAGGCAGGTGGATCGCCGTGAGTTTGAGGCCAGCCTGGTCTACAGTTCCAGGACAGCCAGGGCTACACAGAAAAACCCTGTCTTGGAAAAAAACAAAAAACAAACCAGAGTCCCTAGGGTACACACATGCACATCAATATTGCTGCAAATACGTCATTGTGCCGCTGTTACAGATCAAATGTAGAACATAAAGTGTGACAGCGCATACCTGCACTCCCAGAACATGGCAGGCTGAGGCAAAGGGATCTCAAGTTTGAGGCCAGCCTGGGCTACATAATGAGACCCTGTTGTAAAATGAATGAATGATAGAATTTTATAAATTAGAATAAGAATCTAGCTCTGATTTAGAAATAACTATAGACTCACAGAAAGTTATAAAACCAGTAGAGTGTGACATGTGCTTGACTTGGCTTCTCCAGAAGGCGATGTGTGATGAGGCTGTACTAGAGGAAAGCCAGTTGACAATGACGTATGACTGCTGCTTAGATGACAGATTTTAGTCAGTTTGCATCATTTTCCCTTTGTGTCATCATTTTTAACCTGTTTCCATCTGTGTGTGTGTGTGTGTGTGTGTGTGTGTGTGTGTGTGCAAGCATGTGTTTAAATTCTGTGTGACCCACGCACAGATTCCTATAACCACCACAAACGAGACAGAATATTCTATCAACACTGTGCCCACTCCCTACCTGCTCCAGTGCCTGTCTCCTGGCAGCCACCAATCTGCAATTCACATCTACAGTTTGGAGAATGTTATATAAATGGAATCATACAGCATATAATCCTTTTTTTTTTTTTTTGGTTTTTCGAGACAGAGTTTCTCTGTGTAGCTTTGCGCCTTTCCTGGAACTCTCTTTGGAGACCAGGCTGGCCTCCAACTCACAGAGATCCGCCTGGCTCTGTCTCCCGAGTGCTGGGATTAAAGGCGTGCGCCACCACCGCCCGGCCATATAATCCTTTTTTAAAGAAGGGTTTTACTTATTCCTCTCCCCCTTTCTCTCTCTCTCTCTCTGTACATGTTTGTTTGGGGTGGCCGTACTTGTGCCCATGTTTCGAGGTCAACCTCATGCCTGTTACATGGATGCTGGGACTCAAACTTGGGCTTAAAGCTTGAGCAACAAGTGAGCCATCTCTCCGGCCCCAGCATGTAACTTTTAAAGATTTATATTTATTTATTTAGGGGTGGGGGGTGCCTGTGTGCTGGTCAGAGGACAACTTGCGGAAAGCAGTTAGTTCTCTCCTTCCACAGCCTGGGTCCCGGGGGATTGAGTGTAGGTCATTAGGCTTGGCCATAAGTACTCTTACCTGCTGAGCCATCTTGCCACCCCATCAGTATGTAACATTTTGAGTGTGAGTATATGTTTGTGTATGTTTGTGTGTGTGTGTGTGTGTGTTCAAACCCAAAACTTTGAGTATTGCTAAGGAAGTGTTCTACTGCTGAGCTATAGCTCCACGCCTCTTTTTACTTTTTATTTTGAGACAGGGTCTTGCCAAGTTTCCCAGGCTGATCTTGAATTTACTTTGTAGCCTGGGTTTACCTTGACCTTCTGATCCTCCTGCCTCAGCCTCTACAGTAGCTGGGATTACAGTCCTGCATTGCAGCCTGGTTTAAGGTTGAGTTTTTAATTACTTTGTTTTTGTTTTTGTTTGTTTTGGTTTTTGTTTTGTTGTTGTTTGTTTTTGTTTTTGAGACAGGATTTCTCTGTGTAGTTTTGCACCTTTCCTGGAACTCACTCTGTAGCCCAGGCTGGCCTCGAACTCACAGAGATCCGCCTGCCTCTGCCTCCCAAGTGCTGGGATTAAAGATGTGCACCACCACCACCCGGCTTAATTATTTTTCTTATAGTAATTTTTTTTGAGACATGGTCTCTCTTTACAGACCAGGCTGACCTCAAACCCAGATATTTGCCTGCCTCTGTCTCTTGAGCACTGGGATTAAAGGCACATGTCACCAGGCCTAGCTTCATTTTTAATTGAGTATATGCATGTTGTGCGTGTGGGTGTTCACGCCACGGTTCACAAGTGGCCATCAGAGGACAACTCTGTGGAGTCAGTTCCCTCCTCCCACTGTTGCCCGGGTCTGGGGATAAACGACTGAGATGAAATTGCTGGTTCATAGGGCGACTGTGTGTTTAGTCTTATTTAAAACAAACCCTCTTCAGCTACTGAAGAAAGCGGCTGGACATTCCCCACCAGCGACTCCAGACAGACGCGGCTCCCGGGCATTTGTATTCTCGTTATCTTTTGACAGGTTGTGTGATGATGTCAAACATGCTAGCAGGTGGCCTCTGGTACCTTCTCTCCCTGTGCTGACACCTTAAAGTGCCATTAGACGATGACCAGCTATGAGGGAAAACCTTCTAGTTTTAAGTTCTCAAGCCCTGAAGCCGTGGAGCCAGCGCACGAGCTCTGTGGTCTCTCTCCTATTGTTCACAGCTACCTTGGGCCCTCGTGGCCTAGAGCGCTTAGAACACTTACTCAGCTTAATGGGCCTCAGCTGTACTCTGAGTCACGCCACGCTGGACCCTGAGTGTTTGGGGGTTTTGGCTGAGAAGGAAGAACTGTCCTAAGTTCTTTGTATCGATCTGAGAATTTCTATGTGTCGTGATATTTTCCCCTCACTTGGATATCCTTTGTGTCCTTAAAAAAAGGGCCCCAAGCTTAGGCTATAACTCAATGGCAGCATGGCATGAACCAACAAATGTATCAGAGGTGGTTGAATCCCCAGTACCACAAGTAAATGAATTAATTCTTTAAATAAAAATAAAAAGGAATCTTCAGTTCTTAAGACTTTTTTTTTTTGGTATTTGAATTCCAAGTTCTATGAGCTCATGAAAGTTGCTGGAGGAAATGTGGGAAATCATTTCAAAAACAAAGCAAATTTTTACAGATACATTTCCAGCAACCGGGAAATTTTCAAAGAGTGAATGTCCCCGTGGGACGTACCATGCGACACTCATCACCTTGGCTTGAGTATGTGTGGGAGAGCAAAAACAACTTGGAAAACAAAATAATTTGTTTTGAAATTTCACACACAGAAATTTAAAGGGCCAATAAAACAGACATTACAACACAAAGATTGTCTTTCCTGTATGATGCATACAACATTGATGGACAAATCTTTTTTTTTTTCCCCAGAGCTGAGGACCGAACCCAGGGCCTTGCGCTTGCTAGGCAAGGGCTCTACCACTGAGCTAAATTCCCAATCCATGATGGACAAATCTTAGTAGTATGTGATGCAGTTCAGTGAACCATATTACAACTGAGAGACTCCCTGTAGGCAGACAGACAGATAGGGAAGAGAGGGGCCATGGCTAGGTAACAAACCTGTTGATTTCCAAGATGTCCAGCTTCTTCTTCAACCTCCTGATTTGAGACAAAAGCCTGGCAGCTTTTGTCACCCACCAGGCCCCCTGCAGCTGGACTAGCTCAAAAAATTCAGGACCTGATCAGGACATGTCACCCAACAACTGCAGTCCAAGCAACCATCCTGTCTTCACACTGTCCAACCCTGACGGAGGGGACTGACTCTTCAGAGGCTTTAAAACCCCGAACCTCGAGAAGACACTGGATTTTCAGCTTTCTGAGGCCCTGCCCCCGACTTTGCAGAGGGTCTTCTCTGCACGTCTGCTGTGTGTGTACTTCCTCACCCCCAGTAAACACCTTCCTTTAACTGCTGGTTCTGTCTCGGTGTTTGAGGCTGTTTCGCTGCTCCCTGTGGACTTCAGACTTTTTCTGATTTTAATCCTTTAACAGGCAGAGGAAAATGAACCCAATCAAGACCCCTAGACCACATCACAACCAACATAAGCTGCTAGATGTAGTCTGTCATCTCTATGAGCAACGTCTGGCTAGTTCCTTCCGTTCGCATGTGAGCTAGGAGACGAGTGGGCTTTGCAGACTCCTACGACATCGAGCCGTACAAACAGAGAGCCTGCATCCCGGGTCGCTTCTGAAGCTTACCTCTTTGTAACACTTCTCCACAATTTCAGAGCTCGCATTGCCCCACACCGTCAGGTGCTCTCTCTTATACTGCTTTACCAGTTCTGAGACCTACACGGGAAAATTCAACATTTTATGCATAGGCCTGTATGTAGATTCACCTGTATGGTTTTACTCTGAAAATGGGCTACAATCAATTACCTGCTAACAGATAGTATAAAACTGTGGAAAAACTGGTAAGTAAATTGGGATTATTTTATGAAATGTAAAATTATTTACCTTTACCACTCTAAAACGTATTAGAATATGACTACTCAGAATTTGACATAAAAATAGAATATGACTACTTAGTAATTTGACACAAACAAACCACGAATGAACAACTTAAAGCTGGTAGCCAATTACAGAAACGTCAGGATGCCTGAAGCCTAAGAGAGCTTACTTTAGTCATGACCAGGCTAGGCAACTAACTCGGAAAAACGGGACAAGTTTGCTTCGGTGACCTTTAAGGGGCATTACTTTAAACAATGCTGAGTCCCGGCCTATCTAGTTTCCTTGATCTCTATCAGTCTCTCACGTATCCAACCTGACTTAGTTTCTGAAATCAAACAATGCTGGTCCCCAGAATATCACATGTCCTCCTCTGCACACTGTCAATCTGTCACCTACTCTGGCCTTACTGAGACAATGACCTGAATGACCCCCGGTACCTTCTTAATCAGCACGTTGTTGTTGACTTTGATGTCGATGTTAATGGGGGTCTCAGGAAAGGCCTCAAACACTTCCTTCAGCAATGGAATTCGGTTATCTTTTCCTTCACACTTGCATGCTGAAGAAAATAAGATTTTTAAACAGTAACTCCATTCTTTTTTTTTTTTTTTTTTTTTTTTTTTTTGGTTTTTCGAGACAGGGTTTTTCTGTAGCTTTGCGCCTTTCCTGGAACTCGCTTTGGAGACCAGGCTGGCCTCGAACTCACAGAGATCCGCCTGGCTCTGCCTCCCGAGTGCTGGGATTAAGGGCATATGCCACCATGTCCAGGTGTGATTTCAATTTTTTTTTAAGTTTTCAAGATAATTAGAGTCACATGAAGACTGTAAGAAATAATACACAGATCTACACACTCTTTGTACAGATTTCCCAATGGCAACATCTTGTAAAAACCATGTACCATATCACACCCAAAATACTGACATTGATACAACCCACTGATAGTGTGTTCTCACTGGCTTATTTCTTGCCTTTTGGTTTTATGCTGCTTGGGATAAACTTAGGGTCTCACACACTGAGCTACATACACCCTACTGATTTTAAAATTTTTCTTTGTTTTTGGTTTTTGAGACAGTATGTTATGTAGCCCATCATGGCCTTGAATTCATTACATAGGGAGAGCTGACCTTGAACGACTGATCCTCCTGCCTCCACCTCCAAGAGTTAAGACTACACACATAGGTGACCTCATTCAGCCTGCCATTTATATTATGAAGATATCTAAAGGTCTCAAAATACTCCCTCAAGTAGATATACAATAATTTAATTACTTTATTAATTAGAAACAGGATCTCTCTCACTCTATAGCCCTGGCTGCCCTGGAACTCACAATGTAGACCAGGCTTGCCTCAAACTCAAGAGATCTGCCTGTTTCTGCCTCTGCAGTGCTGGGATTAAAGATGTGTGCCGCCACACCCAGCTAATTATTTTATTTTAACCATTCATTAGTTCAGACTGTTTTGCTATGAGATTATCATCGAAGTTTTCAGAGACTTGAGAATAATTTTCAAGCAAAACAAGTACACAAATTCAATAACTTGTTAAATTATTTAAAAAGAAAATTTCAAGCCGGGCGGTGGTGGCGCACGCCTTTAATCCCAGCACTCGGGAGGCAGAGCCAGGCGGATCTCTGTGAGTTCGAGGCCAGCCTGGGCTACCAAGTGAGTTCCAGGAGAAGCGCAAAGCTACACAGAGAAACCCTGTCTCGAAAAAACAAAAAATAAATAAATAAATAAATAAATAAAATGTCAAAGAAAGATTTATTTTAGAGATGGAGAGATGGCTAACAGTTAAGAGCATATACTGCTCTTCCAAAGGACTAGAGTTCAGTTCCTGGCACCCGCACTGGGTGACTGACACTACTTATAACTTCAGCTCTATGTATTCACATGCGTGTGTCCACACAACACACACACTTAAAAATAATACAAATGGAAAAAAAAATAAGCCGGGCGGTGGCGGTGCACACCTTTAATCCCAGCACTTGGGAGGCAGAGCCAGGCAGATCTCTGTGAGTTCGAGACCAGCCTGGTCTACAGTGTGAGCCCCAGGACAGGCTCCAAAGCTGCACAGAGAAACCCTGTCTCAAAAAAAAAAAAAGAAAAAAAAAATACAAATGAATATTTTTTTAAAGATGTATTCAGGGACTGGAGAGACCTCTCAGCAGTTAAGAGGATTGGGTGCTCTTTTCAGAGGACCCAGGTTCAATTCCCAGCACCCACATGGAAGCTCACACCTGTCTGCAATTCTAGTTCCGTGGCTTCTGACACTCTCACACAGGCACACATGGAGGCAAAGCATCGATGACCATAAAATAAAAATAAAATTAATAAAATGATGTATTCATTTTATGTGTATGAGCATTTTGCCTGTATGTCTATATGTATACCAAGTGTGTGCCCACGAAGGCCAGAAGAGGTTGTGTGATGCCCTGGAACTGGACTTATGGATGGTTTGCAGTCACCATGTGGGTGCTGGGAACCAAACCCAGGTCCTCTGCAAGAGAAGCCAGTATTTTTAACCACTGAATCATCTCTCCAGCCCATATCTATCAAATTATTATCATCATCAATGTAGTTATTCAAAGAAAAGAGTAATAAAAATTTTGTATAAGGCCAGGTGTATTGGTGCACACCTTTAATCTAAGCACTCAGGAGGCAGAGGCAGGCGGATCTCTGAGTTGAGACCATCATGGCCTACATCGTAACAGGACAGCCAGTACTAGGTAGAGAGACTCTGACTCAAAAAAAAACAAAAACCCAAAATACAAAAAACAAAAAAAAGTCAAACGATGTCCCTGAGGGCCAGTAAGATAAGATAGTTAGTTGAGTGTATAAAGGTGCTCACTGCCAAGCCTGAGGACCTGGGCTATTTCCCAGGACACACACAATGGAGGCAAATGGCTGACTCCCACATGATCTCCACACACACAGATATGACCACCTAGTCCTAGCCCCCACAATAAATAAATGTAATATAAAAAAAAAACCTTTAAAGTCCTTGAGAACAAAGCTAATAGATAAAACACAGACCTAAGAGATCAAATAGAAAGAAGCTGATTATCATATGATTAACTGGAATCAGCCATGAAGGAAGGTATATAACCCTGGGCTTTTTACTCATTAAGTTCATCAGTAAATTCATTCTGTATTTACTGTTTTAAAAAATTTGAGCTGGGCGGAGGTGGTGGTGCACGCCTTTAATCCCAGTACTCAGGAGGCAGAGGCAGGTGGATCTGTGTGAGTGTGAGGCCAGTCTGGTCTACAGAGTTCCAAGATAGCTGGGATACACAGAGAAGCCCTGTCTTGAAAAACAAAAACAAACAAATAACAACAACAACAATAACAATAAATATAAGCTTCACGTCTGCCAGTTGCCATGGTGAATGCCTATCTCAGTCCTTGGGAGGTGGGTAGGATCAAGAGGTCAAGGTCAGCCTGGGCTGCTCAAGATCCTGCCAAGGGACACAACAGAGGCAGGTGACGGCTGCTGTGACTCCTTGTAAACATGCCTGCCAGAAGAACAAGGAAAAGCGGAGCAACTCGGTTAAGGGAAAGCGCTGAGGTGGTGGGCTTTCTGTTGTCACCAGCGAGCGGAGGGAGATGGCGGCAGAATCAGGAAGGCAAATGAAGAGGAGGAACCTGCGGCTTTGTGTCCCACCCTCTGCCCCTGCCTGTGTGCCTGGAGCCAGTCCCCACTATGGGTGAGCAGCCCTCACAGGCCCCAGCGCGGATGGCATTCCCTTTGCCCTGAGTCTGCGGTGGGTCCCTTTAGTGTTTCTTCCCTTTCGAGGAACCGTCCCCCACCATCCCAAGCGTTCTTGGGGTTGTGTGGGGGCGTTACTCTTTCCCTGTGTTTTATTCCTGTGAGGCACACTCCAAAGTAGCTTTGTAACACAAAAAAAATTTTTTAGATTTTCTTTATGTGTGTTATTGTTTTTCCTGTACATATATGTGCTCCACATGTATGTCTGGCTGCGCTCCGAGGTCAGAGGTTATCTGATCTTCTGAAACTGGAGTTACAGATGGTTGCAAGTCAACATATAGATGCTGGAAACCGAACTCGTGTGGCTACTGGCTGTCTTATATTACAACAGAAATACAGAATGTTCCTGTCACTACAGAAGGTTCTATTTGGATAGTGAGATCCTAGTTTGATAAAATAACTGTTGTCTTCTAAGTATTCAAATGAATTGCAAATGAATTGCCATGAGGCGGATAGCTATCCACATCCAAGTAAGATACCCTCAAGGGACACAGGAATCGGTCCAACAAACAAAACTAACGTTAGACAGACAAATGAGACGTAGAGACGTAGAGACGTAGAGCTGAGCACCAGCACATCCCAGCACTCGGCAGGCTGAGGGAGGAGGATCTTGATTAAAGTCAGCCTGGGCTGTACAGAGGGACCAAAGAGCTAGGAGCCAGTGAGAGGACCCAACAGGGTCTAAACACTTTGGCTGGTTGGCACTTGCTATGTAGATCAGGCTCAGCGACCAATCTACCTCTGCCAGGCCCAAACTTTCAATACTAAAACCAATCAGGAGTCAAATGCAATATAAATCATTGTTTGTTTGTTTGCTTTACTCTTGAGCTTGGTGGCCCAACCCTTTAATCCCAGCACCAAGCAGGCAGAGGCAAGTGGATCTCCATGAGTTCGAGGCTAGCCTGGTCTACACAGCAGGACGCTGACTCAAAAACTATAAAGCAAAGAACAATCAGACTGCAACCCACAGAACCAGGGAGGCCATATAGCAGGGGGGACCCTAGGATGACTGTGGCTTATAATAAGTTTTGGTTTTACTCAATCACTGGGCAAGCCTCAGTGAAACATTTCACTATTAGGATAAGAATTTGTACTGTATCAGGCTGATAATAGGAAAAAATAAATAAACAAACAAACTTTAAAAAATCTTTACAGTTGTTTGAAACCTGAGTACCTGCCACTATTTTTTGCCGACAGTCAGGGACTGCTCCGAGGGAGGGAGAGGACAGTCTATTTGAGCATGGGCCTGGTACTGTGGAAAGGGTGTCAAGTTCTAGCTCAGTCATTCACTTGTTAGATGACCTTGATCAAGTTAATCTCCTCTGGGCCTTCTGTTTCCTTCTCTCTCTGTAAGGGAGAGCGGGTTAGATGGCTTCAGAGGGCTCCATATTCCCAAGTTCAAGACTTGCTAAGGGGACAGAAAGCCAGGAACAAAATGAAAGGGTCTTTTCATTTTGTTTTGTTTTTGAAACAGGGTCTCATGTAACTCAGGCTGGCCTCCAACTCACTAGGTAGCCAAAGATAACCCTGAATTTGTGGTCTTCCTGCCCCCGCCCCCCCAGTGCTGGGATTATAAGCCTAGATCCTCACATTCACTTTATTCAGAGCTGGGCAAGTGCTCCACAGGCTGTGAAATTCCTAATCCCAAAGGGTTTGTGGAGCCTTGCCAAGTGTGATGGTGTACTATTTAATCCCAGTACTCCAGAGGCAGAGGCTAGTGGAACTCTGTGAATTTAAGAACAGCCTGGTCTACATAGTGAGTTCTAGGCCATCTGATGATAATAATAATAATAACAACAATAACAATAATAAATTCATGGAGTTGGCTATGCACTATAGAGGAAAAGAATAGTGCCCAGGCAGAGGCAGGCAGATCTCTGTGAGTTCAAGGCCAGCCTGTTCCAGGACAGCCAGGGCTGTTACACAGAGAAATCTTGTCTCAAGAAAAAAAAAAAAAAAAAAAAAAAAAAAAAAAAAAAAGAACATTTCCTCAAATCAACACAGATTAAAGATACTTAGGTGTGGCCAGGCAGTGGTGGCACATGCCTTTAATCCCAGTACTTGGGAGGCAGAGCCAGGAGGATCTCTGTGAGTTCAAGGCTATAGAGTGAGTTCCAGGAAAGGCGCCAAAGCTACACAGCGAAACCCTGTCTCAAACAAACAAACAAACAAACAAACAGATACACGTTAGATTGAAACATGCCTTACAAATAATGACTTTCATTTTTATTTGATTATTATTTTTTATTCTATTTTAATTTATCTGTATGTCTGTGTGTTTTTTGTGGGTGCTGGAGGAAGCTAGAAGAGACATGGAATCCTCTGAAGCTAGAGGTAGGCTGTTGTGAGCAAACCAATGTGGGTGTTGGGAACCAAACTCAGTTCCTCTGGGAGGAACAGCAATCACTCCTAACCACTAAGCTATCTCTCCAGGCCTTTATTTTTATTTTTTGAGACAAGGTGGCCCTAGCTGGCCTGGAACTCACAGAGATCTGCCTGCCTCAGCCTCCCAAGTGCTGGGATACTTCATCACATCCAGTAACTTTAAGTTTTTTGGGGTTTTTTCCCCCCTGGCTTTTATTTACCTTTCTTTCTTTTCTCCCCTGAGCCTTAAAGAGTATTTTAAAATGTAAAATTATGAATATGTGTGAGTGCCTGAGTGTATATATGTGCACTGCATTCCTGCAGGAGCCTTTGGAAATCAGAAGAGGGTATCCTATCCCCTGGAATTGGAGTTGTAAGCGACCACGTGGGTGCTAGAAATTGAACCCAGGTTCTCTGCTGTGGGGGCCTACAGAGCCTTCATGGTGAGGCCTTATTCCATCTTGACTCAGGGTCAGAGAGACTGAGTTTGCCTTGCCCCATAAGGCTGCATAATAGGATGTTTTGGCCAAAGGTGTGGTTACCAGGTGTTTTGAAAATTAAGGAAGGGTCTACACTTGTTTGTACTTTGTACCTTGATCTTGAAAGAGGGAGGGGTCTTTTGCCACTCCATGTGCTGGTGTATAAAAAGTCCATTAGGAATAAACTTGAGGCGACTGTAGTATTGACCCAGAGCCCTCCCAAAACTATCTTGTGTCTCTGTCTTTTTCTTTTATGTCTATTACACTAGGTGTTATCCTTTATGTCTCTATTTTTCATCTCTATTATTTTTTAATCCTCACTTCTCCCCTCAAGAACTGTTCAACAGGTCGGGCTGGTCTCCGACACTCTGCAAGAGCTTTAAGAGCTCTTAACTGCTGAGCCATCTCTCCAGCCCCAACTTTTGCTGTTTTTGAGAGAAAGTCTCCCTTTGTACTCCAATCTGGCCTTGTACTTGTGGTGATCCTCCTGCCTCAACCTCCAGTGCTGGGATTACAGGTATGAACCACTGCACTAGGCCTTCAACTCTCGCTCAACAAGTACTCTACCACTGAGCTATATCTCCAGCCCCATACTGGCTAATTTAAAATCTATCTCATTTGGTATGCACAGTATTTTTAAAATGGATCTGAATAAATCCCTTGGGGCCTGTGAGATAGCTCAGAGTAGAGGTGCCTGCCACCAAGCCTGAAGACCTGAGTTCAATACGATGAAAGGAGAGAAATCACCTTTCACAAGCTGTCTTCAGATCTCTGAATGTACTGTACATCGTGACAAGCTTGTGAGTGCGCACGCGCACACACTTAATAAAATTAAAAAATATATCACAACAACAACAAAATAACAGGGTGACTGACAGCCTATAAATCACCGAAAGTATCTTCAAATTATATAATTGACAAGGGGTTAATATTCCTGGTGGAGCACAGAGGAAAGGAAGGTCTTCCGTTTGAGGTCAGCCTGGGCTAGACAGCAAGACTGTCTCTGTGGGCTGCTGAGTGTCTCCGTGGGTGACTCTGTGGGTGATGGCAATTGTCACTAAACCTGATGACCTGAGTTTGAACCCCAGAACCCACAAGATGTAAGGAGAGAACCAAACAATTTCTTCAATTGTCCTCTCAAGTCCACAAGCTCACCATGGCACAAGTATATGAGTGAACACACAGACATACACACAAACAGAAATAAAAAAAAAATGCTACTTAACAAATGTATCAGCTAAATGACAGAACCAAAAGTTCCAGAATCAGAAAGGATCTACAAGAGGCCCTTCCCATTTATTTATTTATCCTTCATTATATTTATAATGAACAACTACTATAAGTAATGGCAATGCTGTAAAACTTGATGCTTTAGAAATACAATGGGAGGAGGAGGAGGAGGAGGAGGAGGAGGAGGAGGAGGAGGAGGAGGAGGAGAAATAGTAGTAGTAGTAGTAGTAGTAGTAGTAGTAGTAGTAGTACAAAGTAATCAAGTATGGTGGCTTGATTCTACAACTCCCACCACTCTGAAGGCTGAGGCAGGAGGATGGCTGTGAGTCAGGGCCAGTCTGGGACACATAGCAAATTCAAGGCCAGCTGACATATAGACTGAGACTATCTTAAAACACACACCCTGCTTCCCACCCTACCCCCTGAAAAGTATAAAGTATCTCCAAGAATCTAAATTCATATAATTATTATGGTATTCAAGCTTCAATTAATTGTCAAGTGAGTTTAAGCTAAGTGATATAGTTAAATCTTTAGGCCAAATAGTCTCAGAATCTCTCAATATAAATGAATATACTTTAATGTCAGTGTTTTAAACCATAAAAAAGAGAAGTATTACCTCTCTGAAATGGGACATCCAGTTTGCAAAGGTAAGGTGGGAGCTCCTTAAAAAGATATGATTAAAAAAATGGTTAGCTTTCAAATCAAAAAGCACTTTAGCGTCTCACATTATGACATAAAGATTTTGTTTCTTTAAAAAAGATTAAGACGTAGCATACATTAAAACACAGCATCCTTTAGCTTTCCAAAGGCAAAATCATGATATAATTACTTATACACCACCTACAAGAAATCTGTACTACTTAAATTTATATATGTTTTTAAGTTTTTGCCTCCTCACTTACTTTTTTAAAAAGATTTGTTTGTATTATTTTTAATTATATGTAGGTGTGTATGTGTGTGTATATGAGTGCAGATTACCTTGAAGGCAAGAGGTGTTAGAGCCCCAGAACTGGCTGACGTAGGGGCTGGAAACTGAACTCAGACCCTCCAAAAGAGCAGTATACACTCCTAACTGCTGAGTCATCTCTCTGGGCCTTAAATTTGAACTATTGTTATTTTGTTTTGTTGTTGTTGTTTTGAGACAGGGTCTCTCGGTGTAGCCCTGGCTATCGTAGAACTTGCTCTGCAGACCAGGCTGGCCTCAAACTCAGAGATCTGCCTGCCTCTACCTCCTGAGTGCTGGGATTAAAGGTGTGTGTCACCAGGCCAGGTAGAGACACAACTTTTGAGTGCTGTACGTACAGGAATTCACCATCACACCCATTACATTGCAGTATTTGAAACACGATATGCATAATTAATAGTGAGCACAGAACTGCAGAAAAGCAATCGAGTACACCAACCGACTATAGCATTGTTAATGTCACTTTTCTTCAGGGGACAAGAGCAGACGCTGGTTTTTGCTTCCGTTTAGCAGTGTTTACTGTTGTGAACATAGATACATTATATGATTTTGATTGTTTAAAGTTACTTCTAGTTAGCACGCGTGTGTGAGTCTGCATGTACCACAGTGCATTCAGACAGCTTAGAGGATACAAAGCAGGAGTCAGTTCTCTCCTCCCACTAAACAGATCCCAGGGATAAAACTCGGGATTGGCAGACTCGCCTCAAAATGCCTTTATCCACTGAGCTATCTTGCTAGCCCAGATTCTTTAACCCGCTTTCTTTAAATTTCTTTCATATGACCACATTTTTAAAAGACTGTGTGTGTGTGTGTGTGTGTGTGTGTGTGTGTGTGTGTGTGTGTGTGTGTGTCTAAGCGTGGGCGCCATGTGTGCCGAAGCGGACATGGAGGTCAGAAGAGAACTTCTGGTAATTGGGTTTCTCTTTCCACTTGTTTTGAAACAGGTCTCTCTCGGTGCTTCTGTTGACCTGTGCACTCTGGGCTAGCTGGCCCCTGGGCTTCCTGATGATTTTCCTTTCTCCACCTCCCATCTCATGGTAGGAGTGCTGGGACCACAGACACATAGCACTTTATTTTTTCTCTCCTTTCACCTGGCTTCTTGATCTGGGCTCTGGCGATCAAACTTGGGGTGTCTGCCTTTCCTGGCAATCACCTTTATCTGTTCAGTCATCTCGATGGCCTTTGAACAGACTTTTAAATGATGCTTTCCTACACTGGAAGGCTAAAACTAACTCCTATATTAAATGTGAGTTAAATAAACAACTTGAATTGTAATGTAATTTCACATTTGATGATGTATAATTTTATCAAAATATTTACAGAAGGAATTTTGGGGCTGGGGATAAATATGGCACAGTTGGCAGAGTGCTTGAGTAGTGCATCTGAGGCCCTGGGATCTATCTTCAGCACCCCTATAAACCGGCACAGTGGTTGTGGTAGTTTGAATGTAACTGGCCCCCATAATCTCATAAAGAATGGCACTATTAGGAGGTGTGGCTTTGTTGGAGTGGGTGTGGCCTGTTAGAGGAAGTGTGTCACTATGGGGGTGGGCACTGAGGTTTCCCATGCTCAGAATACCACCCAATGTCTCAGTTGACTTCCTGCTGCCTGCAAGATGTAGAACTCACAGCTACTACTCCAGCACTGTGTCTGCCTGCATGTTGTCATGTTCCCTGTCATGATGATAAAGGACTGAAATGTAAAACTGTAAGTGTGCCACCACAATTAAATGAATTCTTTATAAGAGTTGCTGTGTTCACGGATCTCTTTACAGAAGTAGAAACCTTAACTAAGACAGCAGTGTATACCTACAGTCCCAGCATTTGGGAAGTAAAAGCAGAATTATCAGAAGTTCAAGATTATCCTCAGTTCCACAGGGAGTTCATGGCCAGCCTGGGCTACATGAGACTCTTTCTAAAGAAAAACAAAAATGAAGCAGGCCCCCACAGATGCGTTTGAACTATACAAATTCCTTGCTGGATGCCAAGATATATTAACATTTTTTTTCCTTTTTCATTTATTTTAATCACTGTCATTCTTTAAGGATTTTGTTGGTTTGGGTTTTATTTACTTGTTTTTTATTTTATGTGTATAAATATTTTGCCTGCATGTATGTTTGTGCACCACTTACATGTCTCATACCTACAGAGGCCCGAAAAGTGTGTTGGATCACCCAGAATGGAGTTACAGACAGTTGTGAGGTACCATGTGGGTACTGGGAATGGAAGCAGGGTCCTCTGGAGGAGTAGACAGTGCTCTCAACCACGGAGCTCTCTCTCCAGCGCCTATTTGTTTGTTTGTTTTGAGACAGGAGCCCAGACTAGGCTCAGGCTTTGGACAATCATGCTTCCCAAGTGCCGGGATTATAGCTGTGAGCCATTACACCAGCTTAATCATCACCGTTTCCAAAAGTATTTACTGTAGTGACATCTGGCTCTTTTCTGCCTTAAAAACATTTCCCCTAAATATAATGATATTAGTTTATTTTTACTTACACAATATTTGAGATCAGAGACATTTACATTGATCCCAGTGGACCTCTTCAGATTTGCGTCATGTGACACCACGACCTGTTCATCTTTTGTGATATGGCAATCCAGTTCTAACATATCAGTTCCAATGGTAACTGCACTGAAGACATGAGAGAAAAGGGCACTTGGAAAACTGGTAAACGTTTACAGGTGTCAGAGATGAAAATTTTGATGTTAAAATCCAGGATACCCCACAACACTGTAATAGCTCAACCACGTTTATCATCATTCATCAACGTGATGTTGTAATCTTAGGATAAGTTATTACAATGTTGTGGCTTACAGTAAGTGAATTATGATGTCTCTTTTAAAGCAGCTACAGTTAATTCTGACATTTCAATACAGTGGGAAAAAATATTTGACCAGAAATTAAGAAATTTGGGTGTGCAATTCCTGACACATTAGCATAACTTAGAGCAAGTAGATTTTCCTCTTATGGCCTGTAAAATGAAATTATCAAGAAATAAGACAAAGATGGCTGCTTTTATCATCTTGATTCAACATATTGTTAGGCGGTTTGGTGGTATATTCCTATGATCCCAACACTTGGGAGGAGGGAGGAAGATAGCAGAGTAAAAAATAAAAATCAAACTCCAACAATGGATTCCAATGAAAGGGAGATCGAGAAAATGACAGGAAGGAGTAGAATAACCAGGTGAGCTGGTGCATGCCTGGGTAATCCCAGGACTCAGGAGTTTCCTCAGCTACATAGGGTGAAGTTCAAGGACAGCTTGGGATACATGATGTTCTGTCTAAAAACAAAACAACAAAAACAAAAAAAAATGAAAAGGAAGAGATAGGAGGGAAAAAAGGAATGAATGGATGGATTTGGAAAATAATGCATGAACAAAAGAAGTATGTCAGAGACATAGAAATGATAACAGTGAAAATAAACAGAAATCCTAGAGATGAAAATGAATCACTAAACTTAAATGTGTAAGAGAAAGTTTCAGAGCCACATCAAACTGGGGAATCATAGAGGAGACTGTACACAATAGGGTATTTCACTAATTAGGATTTACAAATGGCTAATAAGTGTATGAACAGACGTTCAACAGCAAAACTCACTAGGGAAAGGATAATATAATAACTCACACCTGAAATCTTGCGAAGCTGAGGCAGGAGAATGCCTCCAGTTGAGTCCAACCTAGGCTATATAGTGAGTTCAAGGTCATCTTAGGTACACTGTAAGACCTGTTGAGGCAGCTTGCATGGGGAATAGTTTAGTCAACACACTGAACTTGGCTTAGGTGAAGTACAGCACACCCTCCTCACTCTTCTAATTCATTTGGAAGCCTAGCTCCTTTGCCTGAAAATCACACACACACACACACACACCCTTCTGAATAACACATCTAGTATAGCATTCTTCATTCCCTACTTGCATTGGGCTACGTGTATAACCCGTGTGAATAAGTTTCTCTTCCCCTTAATGACCATCAAACGTGGGCGGTCTCTATTCAAATGTATCCCTGATACATCAGGATACAGGGGAGACTGAGCCTGAACTTGTTTTGAGTGCATGTGCAATAAGGCAAAACTGTATCTTCAACTTAATTTTTTCAGGTGACTCTCATATTTATCATCTGTGCATATGATGGAAATCAAATGCATTAGCCAGACATGCTAGCACACACCTTTAATCCCACCAGTCCATTCAGGAGGCAGAGGCAGGAGGATCTCTATGAGTTTAAGACCAGCCTAGTCTATGTAAGTGAGCTACAAAAGAGCCAGTACTACATAGAGAGACCCTGTCTCAGAGAGAGAGAGAGAGAGAGAGAGACAGAGAGAGAGAGAGAGAGAGAAAGAGGGGGAGCGTTAGGCATGATGGTGCACATCTGTAACTCTAGCACTTGGGGGTGAAAACAGGATGGTTAGGAGTTGAAGTCCAGTTTCAGCTACATGGCAAGTTGAGGGTTATATGAGTCTTGGTTATATGTGACCTTGCCACAAAAATCAATCAATCAATCAATCAATCAATCAAATGAAATAAAATAAAAAATAAATAAAAGAAAGATGTAAAAAACAAAACAAAACAACAACAACAACAACAACAACTCCACTGGAGCGATGCACGAGACTTCCAAGGCCCGAGGAGACGGCTCATCAGGAAAGAACATGTGCTGCTGGTACAGGTGGCCCAGGGTTGGTTCCCAGCACCACTGTGAGGCCAGAAGAGGATGCTAGAGCTGGAGCTGGAGCTGGAGCTGGAGGCGGGCAGCCGGGAGGGTCTTCTGCAAAAGCTGTTAACTGTTAACTCTTGAGGCACCTCTCAAACCCATAACTAAAAACATAAACAAAAAAAACATATAAAATAAAAACTTCCAAAAGATTCTGTTAAGAAATTGATTTGATCACTGGGGAGGCAGAGCCAGGTGGATCTCTGTGAGTTAGAGGCCAGCCTGGTTTACAGAGAGAGAAGACTGACAAGATGGCTCCATGAGTTAAGGAGCCACGTGGAGAAAGGAGAAAACTGACTCCTGCCAATCTCCATACACACACACACACACACACACACACACACACACACACACACACACACACACACACACACGAGCGCCAGGACAAACTTAATTATTTTGACTATATGCCAAATTATATAAGTATAATAAGGATTACATTGTCCTCTTCATATTTACCTATGTGGCCCAGTTTAATAACCTAGTTTGATTAGCTCTTAAGAAGCAGGTTTTGCAGGGTGTGGTGGTCCATGCCTGGAATCTTAGCACTCAGGAGGTAGAGGTAGGAGAGTCAGTTTGGAGTTATTCTTGGACACATGTCCTTTAGGGGCAGCCTAGTCTATGAGAACCCATCTCAAAAAACAAAACACCAGATTTTATATACCTAAAGACTTGGTTAACTCTGCATGTGCATGCAGTACAATTCTTTAGTCTTAGGTTCTATGCTCACTACGAAGGGTGCTGTCTCCTTTACCAATTTTTTTTTTGTTTGTTTGTTTTTTCAGGCATGTTTTTTGTGTAGCCTTAACTGTCCTGGGACCATTTTGTAGACCAGGTTGGCCTTGAACTCACAGAGATCTACCTCCTGGGTGCTGGGATTAAAGGCATGTGCTGCTGCCACCCAGCTTTTTTTGTTTCTTTTTTTTTTTTTTTTTGGTTTTTCGAGACAGGGTTTCTCTGTGTAGCTTTGCGCCTCTCCTGGAACTCACTTGGTAGCCCAGGCTGGCCTCGAACTCACAGAGATCCGCCTGGCTCTGCCTCCCGAGTGCTGGGATTAAAGGCGTGCGCCACCACCGCCCGGCACTTTTTTTGTTTCTTAAAAAAATTTTTTTATTTATTTTACATACCAACCACAGATCCCCCTCTCATCCCTCCTCCTGCTCCCCCCTAGTCTCTTCTCCCACCTCTCCCACCCCCTCCTCCAAAAGGGTAAGGCCTCCCATGGGGAGTCAGCAGAGCCTGGTACATTCAGTTGAGGCAGGACCAAGCCCCTCCCACTGCATCAAGGCTGAGCAAGGCATCCCACCACACGTAATGGGCTCTAGAAAGCCAGCTCATGCACCAGGGATAGATCCTGATCCCACTGCCAGGGGCCCCTCAAACAGACCAAGCTACACAACTGTCTCCCGTGTGCAGAGGGTCTAGTCCGGTCCCATGCAGGTTCCACAGCTGTCGGTCTAAAGTTCATGAGTTATCTTAACTGCTAAGCCATTCATTGCTCAAGCCGGGAAAAACAATCTTTAAAATGTCACTGAATGGTGAAAAGCAGAAACTTAGACCAAATTCTGCTGGGCTGTGGGAGTACCTCGGCCACAGAACACGTTAGCACAGAGGACGCCCTGGCTTCAATCTCTAGCACAACAGACAGACCAACCCCCCAGACTGGTCCTAATTACAAATAAAATGTTTCCATATTGCCTAGGAGTATGGGACCACCCTGGTGAACAGAGAGAGACGCCCACCCCATCTTAAAAAATGGCTTAAAATTGTATTAGAATTCTTTTCTCACTAAGTATGAATAGGTAATGTCTTCCTTTCATTGACCTTGATTCATATCCTGTCTCGTTATTCAGAGAAGGGAAAACAGGCTGATGGTAATCATCGGGCTCCAAGACAAAGAACAAGGGCCCCAATCAGTGTCTCCTGCAGTTTCTGCCACTATGACAAAGCCTTTAGGCCTCTGGACGAACTGTGAATCCATTACAATAGAAACAATTTAATTCATTTTACTAAAAACATAACATCGGCACACAAGAGGGTCCCAAGGAGAAGCCTGCTTACAGGTTCCTGCTGAACAGAAACGACCTGGCACAAGGACACACAATCCTGTTCATAACGGCAGCCACTGTAAAAGTTGGCTCATTTGCTCTTTCTGCACCCAACCAATTAGCATTACTCACAGTCTGTCCCTTGTCACAGATGTCTGCTTCCAGCTCTGGAAACGGAGGCATTTTGGACTACTCAAAACTTGGACTACTTTTACAATTACACAGAAGCCAGACCCTCAAACTATAAAAAGGACATTCTATAGAGACGGCTATCATAAGTGAGTGGCTTGGATACACCATCTCCCTTCACTTCAATGGCATCTCCCCATCACTTCAATGACAGGTAGAAGAGGCGCCCTTCTTATGTACTTACTGTTGGAAGGCAGCCATTGTGTTCTCCAGGTTTTCTCCAGCACCTGTAGAAACATGGAGTTTAAATTTCATTTACTTGTCATTATGAACATTTTATTTCTCTAAAAATTACAATGAGCTTTTTTTTTTTTTTTTTTTTTTAGTGTGTGTGTATGTGTGTGCATGTGTGTCATGGGTGAATTGGATGGAATCCTTCTATTTTTCATTTTCCATCTCTCCCCGCCCCCCCCCCCCCCCCCCCCCCCCCCGAGATAGGGTTTCTCTGTGTAGCCTTGGCTATCCTGGGACTCACTCTATAGACCAAGCTGGCCTTGAACTCAGAGATCTGCCTGCCTCTGCCTCCCAAGTGGTAGGATTAAAGGCATGCACCATCACTGATTTAGGTCAACAAGTATGTATTTAAGGAATTTCAGATAATGATTCCTTCACTGTCCATGGAGGTCAGTGGTATTCCTCCAGAGCCCCTTTTAACAGCTGGAGATTATAGCTCAGTTAGTAGGGTGCCTAACGTCTACAAAGTCCTAGATTCACTCTCAGTACTTTGTGGTACTATAAACCAGGCATGGTAGCCCATGTCTATAATCGCAGCACTTGGAAGGCAAAGGCAGAAAGACCAGGAGGTGGAGGCCAGCCTGGGCTACATCAGACAGTCTTTAAAAAAACAAAAAAAAACCTCTCTTTCAAAGATCTGTTGTTTAATTCAGTTGTGCTCTCAGCCCACAATTCTTTCATCTGAGCTTCTTTTATGTCCATTTGAATTATGGCCATACTTACAACAACTTTAAAAGTTACTCTCTTAAGATCTTTGATGTCTAATTTTTTTTTGAAAAATTTTGTCTACAGTGTTCTGTCTGCACGTGCGCCTGCAGGCCAGAAGAGGGAGCCAGATCTCATTACAGATGGTTGTGAGCCACCATGTGGCTGCTGGGAATTGAACTCAGGACCTCTGGAAGAGCAACCAGTTCTCTTAACCTCTGAGCCATCTCTCCAGCCCCCCTGATGTCTAATTTTTAAAGCAGTTTATTCCAGGATCCATTTTAGGATAAAATGGTTTTCAATTGCTGGCTACTAATAATGCCTATTAGCTTCCTAGTATAAGAAACTATGGAGACCATGGAGGGTCAATATTTCTACTCAGAGCTCATCTACCCTGGGCACCGTATGATATTCATCCACAACGACCACAAGGTGTTCAGATCCTGGAAACCCAAAGGTCATAAAAACCGTAAAAAGCACAATCCTCTCACGGTCAGGTGGCCTTCCAGAGGGCAGCTCCTAAGAGCGCACAGTAGACAGTTCATTTGAAAAGCGCAGAAAGGAGCCTGTGAAACTAGGAGAGTTACAGAGAAAAGCTACTGATGCAATGAATCACCGAAATCACCGAAGAGATCAACCAGAAATGCCAAGCTGAATTTATATTGAACAGGCTGAAGAACAGTGAGAGCTACAGAAAGTTCGGGACACCAAAGTCAGCAAATGTTAGTTCTTTGTTGTTGTTGTTTTGTTTTTTGTTTGTTTTTTGAGACAGCATTTCTCTGTAGCTTTGGAGCTTGTTCTGGACTAGCTCTGTTGACCAGGCTGGCCTCGAACTCACCAAGATCCGCCTGCCTCTGCCTCCCGAGTACTGGGATTAAAGGCGTGCGCCACCACCGCCCGGCTAAGCAAATGCCAGGTTTAACATGTTAACAGCTACAAGGCCCAGAAAGCCAAGTGTGCCAGAATTGCACTTTTATCATGCTATCCTTTCAATGTTCAGGGTTCGCTTTTTTTGTTTGTTGTTGTTGTTGTTGTTGTTTTGTTTGTTTGTTTTCTTCGAGACAGTGTTTCTCTGTGTAGCTTTGGAGCCTGTCCTGCATCTCGCTCTGTAGACCAGGCTGGCCTCGAACTCACGGAGATCCGCCTGGCTCTGCCTCCCGAGTGCTGGGATTAAAGGCGTGCGCCACCACCGCCCAACTTTTTTTTTTCTTTTTTCTTTTCTTTCCTTTCCTTTTCCTTTCTTTTCAGACTGGTTCTCATGTAGTTTAGGCTGGCCTCCAACTCACTATGTAATAGAGGAAACACTTGAACTCCTGATCCTCCTGCCTCCACCTCCCAAGTGCTGGGATCATACCACACTTGGTAATTCTCAGGGGTTATGTTTGCAAGCCCGCATCCCTGTATGCGCATGTTTGTGTGCGAATAAGGGGGTGAGGGGGTACGGCACAGCATGTGTGTGGAGGTCAGAAGACAACTTCAGGTCTGCTTTCTCCCTGTTTGACGGTGCCTGCTGCCTGGCCACTGCTTGTGGCGGGCCAGCTGGCCCTTTAGCACCTATCTCTCACTGCCATCTCCCCCAAGGAGCGCTGGGATTACAGATGTGGTATACATCTGGCTTTTACATGAGTTCAGACTCACATTCTTACACTTGCCCGGCAAGCACTTTTACTTCTGGAGCCATCTCTCCAGCCCCAACTTTCAGGTTTGGGGGAGGGTTTTTTTTTTTTGTCTTGTTTATTTATTTTGAGATAGGATTTTAGCTGGAGGTGGTGACACTCACCTTAAATCCCAGCACTGGGGGGGGGGGGCAGAGGCAGGAGGATCTCTGTGAGTTCGAGGCCAGCTGGGTCTAAAAGAAGAGCGTTCCAGAAAAAAAAAAAATAAATAAATAAAAGGAGAGATAGGGTTTTAGCCCAGGTAGTCTGAAACTCACTAAGCAGCCTCAAATTCTTAGTAATCCACCTGCCTTAGCGTGCATGAGCTACCATGCCTTACATAATTGTAGGTGACACTGACCACCCCCACTTTCTTCTGAGATCCACCTGCCTCCGCCTCCTGAGTACTGGGATTAAAGGCAGGAGCCACCACTGCCCGGCTCCCTAAGAATTTTAATGGCAATGCAGGGTGTGGTGGTGACTGTAAACTTAGCTTTATAAAGCCAAGGGAGAATTGTGAGTCTGAGGCTAGCCCAGACTACTACACAGTGAGATCCCAAAACAAAATAACAAAATACCACCATCCAAAACAAAGCATTAGCACTTGAGCCACATAAATTAGTATTTCTGAGCCTGTCTTTTTTTTTTTTTTTTTTTTTTTTTTTGGTTTTTCGAGACAGGGTTTCTCTGTGTAGCTTTGCGCCTTTCCTGGAACTCACTTGGTAGCCCAGGCTGGCCTCGAACTCACAGAGATCCGCCTGGCTCTGCCTCCCGAGTGCTGGGATTAAAGGCGTGCGCCACCACCGCCCGGCTCTGAGCCTGTCTTTTTAACATGAACTTTGCTGCAGACTTTTATGGTGCCATGTTGCTATTCAGATAGCCTCTTACTTTTCAGTTTTACAGGTAAATGATTTCCACATCCTTCTGTTTGCTGTAAAACTGGGAAGTAAATTCCAGGAGGACTATACTTGCAGATTACTCGGACTCATATGGTGAAGCTTGCAGAGTAACTAAGGGACTAATTAAGAAACCTAGTGTTCCTCTCCAAGGAATCATTTAGTGGTAGGTCCTCCCTCATGAACTTGCTCGAATTTCACTTTCTCTCAAATAATAATCACGTGACTCATAGAAACAGCCTAATTAATTTTTTGTTTCTCTAATAAGTAACTACAGTTTTCAGAGCTACAATTAAACAATTCTGAGTTTTTGAGACAGGGTCTTGTGAATTCCAGGCTAGCTCCGAACTCACTATGCAGCTGAGGATGACTTTGAAGTTCTGATCCTTCTGTTTCCATGTTTTAGTGCTGGGATTACAGCATGTACCACCATTCCTGGCTTACATGGGCCTGGGGATAGAAACTTGGGGCTTCATGCATGTTAGTTAGGCTAGTTACCATTTCCTTAGCTCCTCACAATTTTCATTACACATTACTTCATGTGAGTGGGGTGGGAGTACACATGCCACAGTGTGCATGTGCAGGTCAGAAGACGAGTGTCTGTGATAAAGGCCATTGCCAAAATCAACATGAAAAGGAAGGGGTTTGTGTCAGCTGTCAGCTTACACTTCTAGGTCACAGTCCGTCGCTGAGGGAGGACGGGACAGGAACTCAAATGAGGCAGGAACCGAAGCAGAAGCCATGGTGGAGCACTGCTTACCGACTTGTTCCTCATAGCTGGCTTAGCCTGCTTTCTTATACCATCTAGGACCACTTGCCCAGGGATGGCACCACCCACAATTGACTTGGCCCTCCCATATCAATCATTAGTCAAGAAAACACCCTACAGACTTGCCTACAGGCAATCTGATGGAGGCGTTTTCTCAATTAAGACTCCCTCTTCTCAGATATGTCTAGGCTTGTGTTGAGGTGACAAAAACCAACCAACACATCTGCCGTGTGAATCCTATGGATCAAATTCAGGTTGTTAGTCTTGGCAGCTGACATCTTTATCTACTGAGCCATCTCACCAGCCCTATTATTGGTTTATTCAGATGGAGTCTTATGTAGCCCAAGGTGGCTTCCAACTCACTATGCATCCAGGGATAATCTTGAACTCCTAATAGTACTGCCTCAAGTGTGTTTGCGTTTTAGTCATCTCACTATATAGACCAGGCTGGCTTAAAACTTACAACCTTCTTACCTTAACCTCCCAGTTGCTAGGACTACCCTATCATTAATTTTATTTATTGTTTCACTGTATACTTTTATTGTGTGTGTATGGGTGGGTGTTTATATTCAGAGGAAAACTTTGGGTGTCATTTTTCAATTGCTAACACTTTTTTTTTTTTTGAGACAGAGTATCTCATTGGCCTAGAGCTCACCTGTTGTGAGATATTTGTACACTGTGTGAAGATGTATTGCTGTGATTGGTGTCATAAAGAGCTGAATGGACAATGGCTAGGCAAGAGAGGATAGGCAGGATTTCTGGGGAGAGAGAGGAAGAGGAGGAGAAATCTAGGCACACAGATTTCTCAACAGAGCAAGGCAGATGTGCCGCACTAATAAGAGGCTGGTGGTCCTGATGAGAAAGCCAACTATATATGGCACCCAATATGGGGCACCAGATGAAGCATTTATCTAGTTATCTTTATCAATAAAAACTCAGGAGTCAGATATCAGGGTAAGAACCTGACTGATCAGTGGAGAATTAACCAGTAACCTCCCCTCTCTCTCCTTACCTCAACACAAAAGGGCCAAGAATCTTTCTAAGCTCCTCCCTACCACTTCCTGTATCTCTCTATATGTCCTCAGTCCTCCAAAACCTCTATGGCTACTTTGGTCAGCTAGTAGCTAGCTGCGCCCTCTGATTCAAAGTAAACTTTATTGACAGTCTTGGGTGTATCAGAGTACAATCAGAATATCCCACAACACTCACCACATAGATTATGTTAGCTGGCCAGAGACCAAAGGACCTGTCTGTCTCCACCTCCCCAGCACTGGGAATACATGTACATACCACTCACCCAGCCTCTTTTTTTTCTTTAATTAATTTATTTTTTATTTTATGTGCATTGGTGTTTTGCCATGGGTGTCAGGTCCCCTGGAACTGGAGTTACAGACAGTTGTGAGCTGCCGTGTGGGTGCTGGGAATTGAACCTGGGTCCTCTGGAAGAGCAGTCAGTGCTCTTAACCACTAAGCCATCTCTGCAGCCCCATCTTCTTTTACCCAGGTTCTGGGAATCAAACTCGGGTCCTCTTACCAACTGGGTGATCTCCCAGCCTCCTCTGTTTTCCGTTTATATTAATTTCCCCCCTCTATGTAGTGCTTTCTAATTACTTTCAATCAGTTAATCTTTGATAGGATAAGAAAAGGAAACATTGCACTTTGCATCCTTACATAAGTTTTTTTCTAAAAAACGTTATCTTTTTTTATGTGCATTGGTGTGAAGGTGTCAGATCCCCTGGAACTGGAGTTACAGACAAGTGAGCTGCCATGTGGGTGCTGGAAATTGAACCTGAGTCCTCTGGAAGAGCAGCCAGTGCTCTTAACCACTGAGCCATCTCTCCAGCCCCTACATAAGATTTTTTTAAAACATTTATTTATTTTACGCATGTTCACACATATGCATGAAGTCAGACAAACTGTGGGAGTCAGCTCTCCTCTTCCACCACGTTGGGTCCCTCAGATTGAACTTGGATTGCCAGGCCTGGCAGCAGGTGCCTCTGCCCACCACCCTGCCAGTGATCTAGATTTAAATGCTATGAAGGAAAGCAATATTGGTCCATCTCCTTCTAAAATATTTCAGATGTTTTGTATATGAATCGATGTTTACTTTTCTGGTAGTTTTTGTCTGGCCACCATTATATTATCATTAACATCTCATATATAAGACATACAACGTGCTGGTGTGTTGTTTATAAAACCAATGAAAAACTATGACAACAGCTTCAGCCACAAAAGAATCATCCTCAAAAGGAAGATTGGTGGTGACAAATACCTGGGGTGCCAGCACTCGGAAGCTGAGGCCATTCCATTCAAAGCCAGCCTGAAGTCTACAGTCAGACTACTTAAAAAACAAAACAAACAAACAAACAAAAACAAAAAATGGCAAGGGCTAGAGTGGATAGATAGCACAGTAGATAAATCATTTGCTTCAGATCCCTAGAACCCGTGCTCAAGCCAGAAGCACAGAAGCAGGAGAACCCAGAACCCATGCATAAGCCAGAAGCACAGAAGCAGCAGAACCCAGAACCCATGCATAAGACAGAAGCAGCAGAACCAGCGTCTGGTGTATAATCCCAGTGCTTCTACTGGTAGATGGGAGGCCAGTCAGGAGAAGCTCCGACCCCCAACTCAAGTTTACTGGTGAGTCCAAACATAAACAAGAGGCTCCACTTCAAACAAGGTGAAAGACAAGGACCACTACCTGATGTTCTCTGACCTCCGCACACCCATACACAGACATATTAAACAGCCATCACCCCCAGCTGGGCACACGCCTTTGATCCCAGCACTTGGGAGGCAGAGGCAGGCAGTCTGAGTTCAAGGCCAGCCTGGTCTACAGAGATAGTTGTTCCAGGACAGCCAGGACTACACAGAAAAAAACCCTGTCTTGAAAAAATAAAATAAAATAAAAGTGGGAAATTGTGTTGAACTGATAAAATTATACAAAAGAATGATAATGTATTTCTATGACATAATAGAAGTCATGGTCCCAGCATAGTGGTCCAAGACTTTACTATAAACCCAGCACTGGGAAGGCAGAGGCAAAGTTCCAGACCAGCCTGGTCTACATAGCAACTTGCAGGCCAGCCCAGCACTCCAGAGCAAGACCCCATCTTTGAAAATTCTAAAACCAAAAAACATTATACTACATCAAATTTTAGACTATAGAATTTACCATTAAACTGTACATGACAAACAATTTTCTTTCTTTTTTTTGGTTTTGTTTTTTGAGACAGGGTTTCTCTGTGTAGCCCTGGCTATCCTGGAACTCACTCCAGCTGACCTGGAACTCATTCCAGCTAGCCTCAAACTCAAGAGATCTGCCTGCCTCTGCTTCCAGAGTGCTGGGATTAAAGGCGTAGGCCACGAAACCCGGCTCCATTTCAAGCTATTTCAACCTGGTGTCACATTCACTCCAAAAGAAAATTTTAAAGCGACCGAGACAATTTTATATTTTAAACATTATGATTGAGATGTAATGAAGTCACATTATTAAACAGTAACGAAGAAGCAAAGACGTGGCCTGCTGTAGGAAATTAGAGTGGACTCCCTTCGATCCTTATAGCAATATACTTTTGCAAGAGAAAATTAACATTTTTGAAAAATAGTACTGACTAATAAGCGAAATCATGTTTTAGTCTTTTAGAAACCCACGAACCATTGCTGGGGTAAATAGTGCTGTTCAAAATGAAAAACAAAACAAAACAAAACAAAAACCAGGTACTAGGTTTGGATTCCTCGGAACCAGAACCCTCAAGTTCCCTGCCCTACTTCAGTCCAAGCTCTAACTGTGACCTTGGAAAACGTCCCTGGTCTGGAGACATTTCTCTCCAGAGCTCAATTACAAAAGCGTGGAGGGTGGGCCAGGTCACTAGGCATGGCAGAGGGCTCGGCTCGCTCCAGGTGACTCGCGGATCCTCAGTCCTGCCTGAGCACAAGCTCTTCCCTATGGACTCAGCCACCAGCTTGTTCCAAGCAGTCTGTGCCTGGTTCCCCCTGCGGGTGTCTCCTGGATCTGCACCGGCTTTGTGCCTGGCTGCCAGGAAGGGTCCTCGCGATCATCCTTCCATCGGCAGAGAAGCGCCCCACTTCTCGCTCTCATCCTGCGCTTCCCCTCCTCACACACGCCCTGCCCACCTTTGCTCCCCAGAGACGCCCACCAGGACTCGGACACCAGACCCCTTTCCTTTCCTCCCCTCTGGACGACTCATCCGAGGAAGCCCTCCAGCCACTGGAGCCCATTCTTCCTCTCCGGTATCCCCATCATCTCCCTCCGAGGAAGCCACCCCCAATCTCCGCCATCGGGTTCTGGGGACCCCTCTCACCTCCGCGGTGAGAGATGTGCCTACTGATGAATCGCTGCTTCTTTTTCTGGTGCAACAACGTTGGGTATTTAAGCAACAAGAACGACGTGACCAAATACCCTCCCAGGGTAGAGAGAAGGCAAAAAGCCGCGGTGGACGACATCCTGGGTCACCACCTTCTGGGCCTCTGAACCCCACTGCGCTGCGGCGGTAGCAACGGCTGCGGCGCCGGCGGCTGCTCGAGATCTGCTCGCCCCCAGCCGGTGCCCTCGGCGCAGCGCACTTGTTCGTGCGGGCTCAACACGCAGGCGCAGCCCGACCCCAGCGCCGGAGCAACAAAGGGGCTCCGATACGCAGGCGCGCTGCGGCAGGCAGCGTTTGGCGTCCCGCAGCTGTAGTCCCACGCCTAAGTGCTTCTCACAAGGTCCTGAGGCAAGAGGTTGGAAACTCGCCAGTGTTTTTATTTGTTTGGTTTTTGTTTTGGCATCCCTCAAGCAGGATAGCCTTCAGGAAAATCTGACGTAATTGGGGAAGTGTACATCAAAGGAGGATTCCAGGGCAAGTCCTAGCCCCTACTCTAGGAAATGCAAAGAATTGTTACTAATGCCTCGAATTCGTTACGTACTCGAGAAATGTTGACTCAACAGTTCGTGTAAAAAACTTGGGACTGGAAGGCGTAGCCCAGTTAGTAGAGCGTACCGATTCAAGCTCCAGCACAAAACAAATATAAATAAGGAAACTGGCAACTGAGTCGTTCCCTATAAAGACTGGCAACTACATTTTCCATTTCCCTTTTTCATCTCACACATTACAAACTCCGAAAACGCTAGGCACTACGTTTTAAGGGGATAGGGTGTTGGTTTTGTGAGATAGGGTCTTACCTAGCCCAGTCTAGATTTGAATTCACTATGGAGTAGAGGATAGAGCTTTGAACTCCCGATTCTCCTGCCTCAGCCTCCAGTGCTGGGATTATAAGCATGCCCAGCTGTGGATCATATTTCATACAAAGGAACTAACCAGAAAGGCTTGTAGCCGTGGCTCAATGATAGAGCACTTTCCTAACATGTTCAAGGCCTTGGGTTTGTTTTAATTGAGACAGGGTCTCACTGTGTAGACCATGCTGGCCTCAAATTCACAGGGTTCAGCTTGCCTCTGCCTTCTAAGTATTGCAGTTATTATTTTTGGAGACAGAGTCTCACTGTTCCCTTGACTGACCTGGAACTCAATATGGAAACCAGGCTGGAGATCCACCTGCCTCTGTCTTCCAAGTACAAACCCCTCAAGGCCAGCAGTTTGATTCCTGGTACAAAACAATCCACAACAACAAAATGACCGTGTTTAGCTCAGGCTGGCTTCAAACTCCTAGGGTCAAGTAGTTGTCTTGCTTCATCTTGCTGATTAGCTGGATCTGCAGGCAAGGGCTGCTGCACCTGATCTCATTGTTTATTTTTTATATATTTACTTATTTTGTGTGTATGGGGGGTACACAGGTAAAGGCCAGAGAAAAACCTTTGGGGGATAGTTCTGTCTTCCCACCATGGGAGACCTGAGGTGGCAGTTCCTTTTCCTACTAAGCCATCTTGCTGGGTCAGGTAACAGCTTTTGGAAATGCAATAAACACTTTATTTCATATACATTGACACTAGAGTCTCTAATTCTGTTAGTACAGTATTTAAAACGTATCTGGGAAAATAGAATCAATTGCACTACTTTGGGTCTCAGTTTATTTTGCCAGTATCTAATTGATGGCATAGCCACAATAGTGATACGGTGGTATGTTGGGAAAAGTTACTAGAGATTGGTAAGATTTAACCACTTAGCAAATTATTTCATAGAATAGGTATTTAATTAAAGAACATTTATGCCAGGACTGAGGGTACAGGTCTGTAATCCCAGCTACTCTGGAGGCTGAGACAGGAGGATTTTAAGTTCTAGGCCTGCCTGGGCTACAGAATGAATTCAAAGCTAGCCCCGGCTAGATACTGTCTCCAAATATTAAGAACCAACAGGCACTGGATGTAACTCAGTGGCATGCATGAGACCTGAGGTTCAATGCCTAGTACTGAATAAAGTCTTTATTAGCACACACCTATCCCAGTACTAGACGGGCTAAGGCAGGAGTTTTGAGAGGTCAAGGCCAGGGACTAGAGAAATGGCTCAGCCAGAACACTTGGGGGTTTTTGTTGCTGTTGTTTCACGCTGGCCTCAAACTTCAGAGCCCTGCCTGCCTCTGCCTCCTAAGAGCTGGGGTTAAAGGGTGTGCGCCACCACCACTGTCCATCAAGAGCGCTTGCTCATTTGTGTTTTTGTTTTTTTTTCCAAGACAGGGTTTCTCTGTGTAACAGCTCTGGCTGTCCTGGAACTTGCTCTGTAGACCAGGCTGGCCTCACAGAGATCCACCTGCCTCTGCCTCCTGAGTGCTGGGATTAAAGGTGTGCCCCACCACTGCCCGGTTTAAGAGCACTTGTTCTTACAGAGGACCTGGGTTCAGTTCCCGTACCCACATGGTGGCTCTAGTTCCAAGGTATCCAATGTCCTCTTTTGACCTCAGTGGGCATCATGCATGCATATAGTACATATACATACATATGTATACTCATACATATAAAAAATAAATAGGACCAGGCGGTGGTGGCGCACACCTTTAATCCCAGCACTTGGTAGGCAAAGTCAGGTAGATCTCTGTGAGTTCGAGGCTAGTCTGGTCTACAGAGTGAGTTCCCAAAAACAGAGAGAGAGAAAGAAAAGAAAAGCATGATCTTAAGGAATATCCCAACTGAAACATCATTTTATCAGAAAGATGAAACACCAAATTACAATAAAAATATGCCTTATATTGACAATGAAATATAAAAATATGCCTTATATCGACAATGAAACAAGAGAAAACAGAGCTATCAACTATACATTTTTATATCCATTCTTTTCTAGAACAACAAACTTTTATTGATTTTACAATAAATATCAATATAATGAAATAATGGAACAATTATTGTCCGAATACTGAACACTTTTAACCAAAACACATGTTGGTTTTGGGTAAACACAGAACACACATTTAAAAACAAAATCTCACACACACCCAAACAAGACAAAGGTCGGTGGGCTCCAGGCTCTGGTCAGAGACCACCCGCGGGGAGAACCTATTGTGTCACGGCTTTCAGGATGCCCCGAAGCACCTTGTAGCTCATGAGCTGCACGTTCTCCTTGGGAGGAAAACAAGGTCCCCTCTCAGTCACATATGCATAAGGAAATCTCAAAACCCACAGGCCATCAGGTGGGAGAGTGATTTCTTGTTTTTCTGGGTAAAATACTGGACATGGTGGTGGGCCTGGTTGAACCTGAAAAACACAGGTAACAGAATTACTTGTAGATTTCTCAATAAGAAACACCTAAAAGTTGAGTGTCAACAAACAGTGGGTTCAAACCCCCTGCAGATGGAGCAGCCAGACTCAACAGGAAGGCGGGAGCTGCTGGCACTTTCTTGGTCCTCACCTTGTCCCCTTGGTGTCTTACTCCCTCTGCGCTCTTTTCCACTTCCTGTTGACCAGGTTTGTTTGTTTGTTTGTTTGGTGTAGTTTTGGTGGCTGTCCTGGATCTCACTTTGTAGACCAGGCTGGCCTCGAACTCAGAGATCTGCCTGGCTCTGTCTGGGATTAAAAGCGTGCGCCACCACCGCCCGGCTGACCAGTTTTTTTTGTTTTGTTTTTTGTTTTTTAATACAGAATCTCTCTTTCCATATCCCTGGCTGTCCTGGAACTCACTCTGTAGACCAGGCTGGCCTCTAACTTACAGAGATCCACCTGCCTCTGCCTCTGGAGTGCTGGGATTAAAAGCATACACCACCTCACCTAGCTTGTTTTCTTTTTTTTTTTTGGAAAACTGTGGTTAAACTAAATTCTTACTAATGGTTGTCATAGTTAAATCAATAAAGATCTTGGATTTAAAAGAAATTAGGTACTGGGAATATAACTTATTGGTTAGAGGGCTCGCCTAGGATACCAGTGTGCACACAAACAACAAATTAATAAATGATAGATAAATAAATAAGTGTAAACAAAAATATTTAAGCAGATATGGGGTTGGAAGGCAATTCAGTGATACAGCACATCTGGTGACCTAGAATTCTGCGAGTTCTAGGTTAGCCTAGTCTATATTTTGGGTTCCAGGATAGCCAGGGCTACACAGAGAAAGCTTGTCTCAAAAAAACCAAAATAATAAATAAATAAAAATGATCAGAACAAAGGGCGGCGGATGTAGCTCAGTTGGTACAGTGCTCAGTATATGAAACCATCACTGAATCCCTAGTACTGCCTAAACTAGGTGTGGGTGTGTACCCTGCCATTCAGGCACTGAGGAGGTAGAGACAGGGGGTAAGAAGTTCAAGGTTATCCGTAACTACACAGTGAGTTTCAGGCTGGCCTGGACCACATGACTCTCTCAAACCAACAAACAAAAATCAAAATAAGCATCATGGCCTTGGGATACAGCACAGTTATAAGGAAGAGACATGCCTAAAATCGCAGCACTTGGGAGGCAGAGACAAAATGATCAGAAGTTCCAGGTCACTGAAGACTTCACATCTAGTTCCAAGGCAACATGGGCTACATGGCTTGCCCCATGAAGACCACCCCCAAGAAAAGCATTGCTTTTTTTGTCTGTTTAGGGGAGCGGTTTTATTTCTTACCTGGGGCATCAGGATTATCTGCAAAGGAGCATCAGGAACCACCACAAAAAGCCTCATCAGCTGCGCATAGTGTGGCTTGAGGCCTCTGCCCTGAGACGAGGACAGGATGTACAGGGGCATATCGCTGTTGAGGGCTTTTAGAGCCGACTCCTTTGGCCCACTTCCCATCACTTTCATGACTTTGTCAGGCCCTGAGCACATGAATCTCCGACCTCGGGAGTCTTCGTACTCAAAGCCAACGAAAGCTCTAGCTATGTCATCCCGCCGCCTTCCTCTGCCCATGACAACGGCACTTCTCTTTCCAGGAATGGCTTTATTTGGAGCAGGCCAGGAGTTCGTGTCTAAGTCTCCCTCATCTTCAGCTCTGGTCCTGATGACAATGTCCCAAGGCATAAGATAGTTTGTTCCTGGAACGAAGCCCTGTTGGTCCAAACCTGTATGAAAGTTGTAAGACTTGGCTGGGCCGAGTTTAACCAAAGACCAGCTGGAGAATTTGGGTAAGAGACCTTTTGGGCAATTTGAATGTAGCATGCCTGGGAGATATTCCACTGTGGATGCCTGCCGATCAACCAAGTTTGGTCTCTTGTCAGACTTGACTTCTCCTTG